TCTCGCGCGGAAGGTATTTAATCGAGCAGCCGAGATGGGAGATCAGGAGAAGACAGAAGTTAGCGCCAGAGCTCGTAGGGTATTCCGCCGTGTAGTCGGCGAAGGTTTTGTCCGTAGTGACAAAGGAGGAGAAGAAGAGGATTTCCACCTGAGGGTTGACGACTCGCGCTACAGGCAAGAGTGTGTGTCTACCGCTATCGAGCGAAGACGCGTGGCAACAGCTGTGTGTGTGAAGCCGACGTGTTTCTGGCGAAGAAGTTTGAAGCTTGGAGAGCGGCCAAGTGAAGACGCGAGGTTTCTTGGAAGAGAAACTTTGGGGGCAGCGGAACGACAACAACGCTGGACTTTGAGTGAGTGATTCTCGGAAGAGTATCATCCAGACTTTTGTTCCAAGAACTTTGGACTGAATAGGTTTTCTATCTCTTTAGTCTTTGAGTGTCTTGGTTGTTCAATGCATGTGACTGCATTGTAGTGCGTATTGTTGTCTGTGTCCGTTGTTTCGAGTGTGGCTGATTGTACTGTGTAGTACGTTGTCTGATTGGTGACATATTGTATGCAACTATTGTGTGTGCATACTTGTGTATTGTTTTTTGATCTGCCATTATTGAGAATATAATTTTGTTTTGTTTATCAACTCTCGGCTCTGACTTGTTCTTTGGGCCACAGCCGGCGTCCGCTGGCGCGCCAGAAAGGACCACTTCTAAATTGTCCACGCTTTCATGGTGCGGTTCGGGGGGCCGATACTTCGGCCCTTGGAATTAGCCCGGCGATCGCCTCTTGAATTAACGGGACCTGTGGCATTTGGTGTTACGTGACGTAAATGGATGACGAAATATATCACTGGTGCAAACATGATAACCCTTACACGCGTTTTATGTAAGAACATGACAACATATCATGCTTATAGCCTGCTCGCGCCGCTTTGCTAGCTCCACATATACTAACTTACAGCGCAACACCAGAAAAAAATACAGGACAGGGAAGGAGTAAAACAGAAAGAAAAGACGGTGCATCCTAACCAACTGCCCAACTTACCGTCTTACCACATATACTAAATTTGGTATCACCTGACGTGAATAGATGACGAAGGTAAACGACACATCCAAACATGATAATCATGATGGCAACATTTACCTCCACCTTATAACGTTGTGCTGATTTTAAAGTGACATATAAACATTTCTCATTCATGCTTCGCATATAATCGATTCCCACTGTACGTGGGACCTGCCTTTTTTTTTCGTTTTTTTTCACTCTCCGAGAACAATTTTGAATCACCACCACCTGACTTGAAGGAAAGTGAGAACAGCACTCCTCTGCTTTATAGTTTTTTTTTTTTGCTTTTCACACGGCGATTATCAACACGAACACGCGCCACCATCAGGAGTTGAGGTCACCACTAACCCCTCTAAAACTAACATGGCAAGAATGACACGGCGCCTTTGGAAAAGATCCTACCGAAACGTCGGCCAGCCAGTCTGAGGCACTTCTACTGCGCAATACCCTGATTATCCCCCGACGTATGTAGTAATAGTAGTACAGTGTCTAGAAAAACAATACCTAGTGAACTGAGCTCGGGCGAGGAAATGGCTCCGTCGCTGATGACTGCTGATGGCGCCTGCGTGGTGCGCTGCGGTGCGAGTGGGTGCATCTGTGTTCAATCCGCACGCTCCGCAATCGCTGCGAAGTTTTCAGTAGGCCGAGTCGCGCGAGGCCAACTTTCCATTTTTCCGTATTTTCAGAGAGTTCTTTACAAAACGCTTTATTGTACAATACCTACGCGACTTCTTTCACACTACTCGTATTTAGCAATATAAAATGAAGATAATGTCGTAACGTACACCTCACTGCTGGCTGCCGCCCACAACACACACACACACACACACACACACACACACACACACACACACACACACACACACACACACACACACACACACACACACACACACACACACGTCACGACCAAAAAGGGGTTTTAAAGCTCCCACAGAGAGTTTGTAACCACGTGACCTGAAACTGCATGGGGAATTTAACAAGGTTATGCAGTTCATAAAATCTATCATTAAGTAGGGGGCGTTTTACGACGACATCTGCCGAGCTCACTCCCTACCAGGGAGTAAATAATTGTGGCAGGGGAGTTTTGGGGGCTCATAGGCTAGAGAAACGCCCTTATTGGCTAATTTTTGCTTCCAGTGTACATACATACAAGGGATGGACAGACCCACGCGCTCATGAGCTTTGCCCTAAAAAATGCCGCCCGCGTCTTTTCACTGGGGGAACTCGAGTAAATGCGTCGCTGAGGGGTGGGGATACCGCGTAAATGTTATGTAATTGGTTACGGTGTGGGGATTTCTAATCATTATTTCGTCTTAATTATTCTTTTTTATTGAGTGAAGGAGAAGCGTTGCCCTCAAAGTCAAGCGAAAGCCAAGTAAAGACGCCCTTGACGGAATTCCAAACGTACAATCCAGTCCCTTCATATACGGGGTGGCCAGTGAACAGTTATCGCAAGCAGTCATTTGTTTTAGGGGCGAAGCTCCTTATAGCGGCACCCGTTCGTCCTTATAGCGGCACCCGTTCGTAGTATGTAACAGGTATAACATTTTGACCTCCAAGGTGGTGCCGGTGAGAGACTTCTTCTGTGCGTTGTTGAACAATAAAAATAGTGCTCAATGTACATGTCAATGGCTGCTAATGGGAAATGAGAGACAGGAGCATTCGGCTTTTAGTTAACGCGCAGGCTGCGATCACCATTAGCAGCCATTGGCATGTACATTGAGCACTATCTGACAAGAACGGGTTGCTACGTTATACTCGCTGGGTGTAACCCCCTTAGCTTTAGAAAAGTTTAGCGAGTGTTGAGCCGCAGTGCCATGAATACAATGAACTAGTGAATGAACTCGAGGTGGTTAAAAATGGGAAGTAGATACGAAGCGCAAGCCGTAAGTAAAAGCCGAATTCTCCGCCTCTCATTTCCCATTAGCAGCCATTGGCATGTACATTGAGCACTGTCTGACTGAAAAAGTTTGCTACGTCATACTCGCTGGGCGTAACCTCATTGGTTTTCGAAAGGTTTAGCGAGCGTTGGGCCGCATAGCCATGAATACAGTGAACTACTATATACCATGAACTCGAGGTGGTTGAAGGTGGGAAGTGGACCCGAAGCACAAGCCGTATAAGAAAGTGTGCGTGTGCCACCTCTCGTTTAGTCCTTGGTATGTCCGCTGGATGGCGGTGCTTCTATATGGGGAATATATGATGAAAAGATGCGAGATGGTGGTACTTGGAGTGTTGAATAGATGGACGAACGGACACATAGACAGATGCATGGATGGACGCATGAACGGACGCAGGGGCGGCTGCATGGACGAACGCAGGGACGGACGCACGAACAGACGCACGCACGGACGGGCTGATGGACGCATGGACGGTCACACTGACGGACGCATGGACGGACGGAAGCAAGAACGAATGGACGGGCGAATTCTTCGCCCCACTCTCCATCATTCACTCCGTGGATATGCTGCCATTTTTTTTTGTTTTTTTTTACTAGCAGACGCAGCCTGTGTCCGCCTTTCGAGGCGAAAGAGGGGGAGGGGAGCGATAGTTTCTGGTGTCTTCCTGGGCCTATACGAGACGCGAGCGTGCGCAAAGGGAGTGTGGACGGCGCCATAGAGTTTCCTCAAATTCACAGAGGGGTCTCTGGCGCTGTGATCATCCAGCGACTTAGGTCTCTAGATGAAACGATTTTCCAAGGTAGCGACACCTTTCTCTTTCCTCCTCGCCTATGTTCCTGGAGTGCCCCTTAGAAGGTTCAAAACCTTCATGAAAAAGCGAATGTTTGGGATCAGTTGCTACGGTGAATAGATGTAAATGAAACAAAACGGAACGAAATGAGTCATAGAGTAAACAGTTACCTTTATGAACATAGTCGGTACAACACAAGAGCAAGCTGGATGTGCGTTACTCAATTGGCAACGTTGTGCAGTTCTACATTTTACACCTCTGGCCATAGCGTCTAGCGTCGTACATCGTAAGTCGTCCAGTTATAATTAGTAGACTTCTCCGAATGTGTTTTGTTCGGGCTGTGACACACAGTGAACGCGGTTCCTGCTGGATCCTGTCAGTGACCACAGGGCGTGACGTTGTGACGAGTGATTACAGCTGGCTTGAGCACACGCAAGAAAAAAACTACGTCCAGACTATTAAAAACGCTTGACTATGAGCACTGCGATGACGGTTTTTTAAATGTGCTCACTTGACGGTTTTTTTTTAATGTTCTCACGGACGGTGTTAATAAAGCTCCCATTGGGGCATTAGCTAGAGGAGAAGTCGTTTACTCCCACGTCGGTTTATTTCTGTTTACAGAGTACGTGACCACCTATACTTCCGCCTTTGCCAACTGCCCACTACTTCATCCTTGCAAGCATCCCGCTACACCCCATCACCTATCTACCACTACACCAACCATAAATCAAATACTCTTGAGAAGTAGCGAATATTAAACGCAAGATGGTCGTGTACTTATATCCAAGTGCGCTTTAAAGAACCAGATTGTCCCACTGTGTCCATCCCTCGTTTGTACGTGACCACCTATAGTTCCACCTTTGCAAACTGCCCACTACTTCGCCCTTGCAAACATCCCACTACGCCCAATCACCGATCCACAACTTCAACGAACATAAAGCCGTTTTAATGAAGGGGTAACGGAATCGACGTACAGCTACAACCCACGAATAATACAACTTCTTGTACAAATATATGCAGTGTTTGTCACGTCTTTCATTATGTAGTGGGTGATATTCGCGGATGGTTTACGGTTTAGCGATGAAACCGTCCAGTGCTTCGTCCCACTCATCACGCATCTTCACTCCATGTATATGCAGTGATTTTTTTTTGTGTGTGAAAGGTTACCCAAATATAGCTTTATTCGCCTGATATATTTCAACAACATTGAAAACTAAGAATGCTATTCATTTCATTGTGTGTTCTTGCAGAGACGAGCAACTTCACGACGATGTGCAGCTGCTGCACGATAACGAAATCCGAGCCAAGGAAAGTGACGCTTACGTGCGAGAAGAACCAGACAACGCACCGCATCCAGAAGGACTACCAGAACCCAACCGCGTGCGCTTGCACCCGATGCGGCGATTCGAAGCCATCACCAACAATTGTATTGCCCATACCACTCTGATGGCACCTACCTATCAGGCAGTATGCCCGAACTGCGCGGGAATGTAGCAAGTGTCCAGACTTCTATCGACACACCGACATTGCTCATAGCTCAGCGATGGCATAGAGCTCATGTAAACATTGTCCCACAGTTGTCCACGTAAATAAAATTTCAGATTTTTTCAAATAGTGTAAACAAGAGCTGGACGACGTACAACCGGGGAGTTGCATATATGTAGCCCGCGAGAAGATCCGTTAGCGGCCGTCGGTAATTTTCTTGGCTTCAAGGAGTTTGTAGCAGACAACTGATAACAGTGTCAGGCTTATTAGAACGAATATACCTCCAATGTAATCTCCTGGTGTGAGCAGGGAAAGCAAACGGCGAAAAAAAGAACTGAGATGTTAAAAAATATATATTAAAAAACTTGTATATAGGCAGAGAGGAAAGGAGAGATAGAGAGAGTGTGTATGAGTGAGGGGCTGATGCTGGAGACAAGCGAGTAAATTAGGTGTGTTTGAACGCTTTTTAAGGGATTTTAAACAATGCTAGCACGGTGAGTATATAAGATTTTTTGTGACATTAGCTTCAATAGCTAAGACAGCAGATGCGGAATATTAGGGAGTAAGCACATTGGCACTTATAACACTTAAAGGGAAAAAATGCATCGATGGTTACGATATTGCCTAGTGCAAATTCTGAGTAAAGCTTCGCGTAGGGGCAAGGTCAACTATTTGAAGTTTCGGCTATCTGGAAGGTTTCAACCACGGGCCATAAACCATAATCTTTGTCAAGTATACACCACCCACTGCACCGGTATTCGTCTTCCTGCAAATAGGCGAGGTACCCGCTACAGATATGTAAGCTATTACATACACCCAGTTGATGCGGCGTAGGGCTGATGATGATGAAGAATTATTGCTGAGCTCCTTGCAGTGGATGGGAAGCATTTAACCACTGCTACAGTCGAAGCCACTTACTGGTTCTGGCCTATACAACCGGAACCAGCAGGGCCTCAGTGAAAAGTAGAGTTCCGGAACCGGAGCTGATAAAAGGAACGTTTATTTGCATGGCTAATGGTAGCGGGCATTTTACATGACTGATAGTAACGTGTTTTGAGCGTACTCACACTCACGTTATGTGGCCTTCATCCTCCTCAGATTCCCTGTTGAGGGAAAATCATTGATTCCACGATAGTCCAATCAATATGTCGTCCTCATCTTCGCTCAAGCACAACCTCATTGGCAACCCAGGAGAGTGAGATGTGGTGTGCCTTAAAGATCCTGTTCCTCCGGCCTGCGATGGAAGAACACAAGATACAATAGGGCACCACCAGCATAACGACAGTGTCGAGGCGTCACACATTTTTGAAAACTATTCGTGCAGTCTGCCTTCTCGATCTCGATAGCGACGCTGGCGCAAGTGGTGGCAAGCTATACCGGCTGAGTAACAAGGCAATAAAGGCGTTGCGTAGTGTGGGAAACGTACCAGATTAGGTAAAGATCTCAGGCGCTCGCATGTCGCTAAAAACGACCCGAAAGAAAAAGCTTACCGCTTCTTAAGAGCAGCCATGACTGCGAAGCTCGAACAGCTCGCTTCGTGGCCACGAAACCGTCATATTCGGCCGGGTGTGTCCAAAGAGTTCGACGAGGGCACTGACAAATTTGATGAATGGCTAGGAACACGACGGCTGTGTTGTCGCCGCATCTGGTGTAAATTAAAGCAGACATTGCGAATCTTTCCTATCCTCTAAGCGGTGCCAAGCCGTGAAGGTTGGTCATAACACAGCACACTCGTTCCGCATTTCGCACTGAGCGATGACTGGTTGTTATTTTACTCTTCTGCAACGCCATATTTCACAGGTTTGCGCAAATCCTTGCCCAACACGCCACCTGTATTCTGTCTTTCCGCAAGTGAGTTTCAAGCACCTGCGTTGCTCCGTGGTAGAGTACGCGACTGCCAGGCAAGGGGGGGGGGGGTGATTTTTAAATGAAAAGAAGAGAAAAGTGAGCCCCGTAACTGTCTCTCAGTGGGAGGACACCTCAACAGTAGCTCACGAGGGGTGGGGGTAAGGAAGGATTAAAGGGATAGGATTAAAAAGTATAGAGATAAAGAGAGGGGGAAGGAGAGAGCGCGGCACAGGGGCAGCGACATCCGGAAGTAACGAGAAGATAGGAAAGATGGACACGGCCGCAGGAGTCCGAGGACGGGACACCACTCGGCGAGAGCTCTTGTCGGCGTCAGGAGATTGCGTAGGGCGAGCCCAGTCGGCTAGAGCTGCGCTGTCATCGGAGATCACGGGAGCACAACCGGTCGGCATGAAATCCGGAGAGCGAGTTTAACGAGGCAGAGTGTGCAGGTTGAAAGTCTATTGGATCCTGAGTATCAGGGGAGAAGCTCCTTAAGCTCGAGGCTTGTCCGCTGGCGGCGTTAGAGTTCGCCGTATCGTGGCCATAGCCGAGCACGATGACAATGACGCGATGCAAGACGCGATGCAACACTGGTTGCATCGGGTCTGGGGGAGGGAGAGAGCACTTGTGTAGCTTGGTTGAGGGCAAGTGCTGGTGAAACTTGAGGGGAAGTGCCCTTGCCGACGGCCATGTGTACGAGCCAATGAAGCACTTCTAAGGCAACCAATGATAAAAGGTCCAGAGAATGAGCAACAAACAAAAGCATGACCTTCGAGATTGCGCATTGCCGAGTGTGTCCCCAGCCGTCTCGATCACCGCGCCCCCCAGCAGAAGTGTTGTTCCTCGCGTGCCCGGATATTGAGAGAGGGCGCGCGAAACCGCCGAGGCGTAGGGTGCCTCTATGCGAGTGTTCTCGCACGCACCGAGGCACCCTACCGAGGCACAATCTCGGAAGCCATGCCGAAAGCATAGGGTTTCATACAGTGATGTAGACAGCAAAGTGGCGCTGCAATCGTTGTACCACTATGACAATGATGGAAACCATACAGGGTTCAAATAGGATAGCGTTAGGGAACTGTGTAGTCGTCATTTTTTAATTGAGTTCAAGTGCAAAACCAAGCTCACCTGTTCAATAAAGGTACGTGAGCTCTCCTCTCTTGCGCAATCTGCCTTGTCTTCTTTCTCTACCTACATTCAACAATATTCAACACCATCATTACGGACTCGCATAAACAAATTGGTTCTGTTGGCTCGCTCCCATATGGAGCCACAAATATAAGCACTACGAATATGCGATGTAGCTTTTGGAGAGTCATTCTTGAACATTGGACAATCTTTGCTACTGCTGTGGCGGGAATGTCGGTGTTAAATGCTCTTTATCAGTTTTTTTCGAAGTGCCACAAACCTTTCAGAAATCGATGAAGAGCTTTCAAGCTCTCAGCACCCTCTCTCTGAAACTAGGCCGTCAACGGAATTCGAATCGCTGTCTTGTCAGTTACCGAACAAACACTTCACCCCTCGCACATGAAACAGCACAGGGATGCTGCTTTCAAGTAGGGTGGCATCGTTTGAGCCAAAAATTTATGTTAAATGATTATTCACGTCTCCAGATCTAAGGCTCCACGTCTAGGCTTGCAAATGAGTCTCCTCGTCTATAGACTCGCACATGCACGTCACATCGGAAGTCCGTGTGAACTTTTTACAAAAGAAGGTGTATCGTTTTTAAGGAATAGAAAAAAAAACACCTAAGATTTCCGAAGATAGATCAATTTTCACAAGGTGGCTTCCATTTTTCCGCCATGGCGCCGTCCTGCGTCTACGATGTTTCGCTGCCGTTTCTGTGCCGTTGGCGCTGCGGTGGTGTACGCAGTGATTGCGCTCAGTACACGAAGTATTTCTCTTATTCGCGGTACAGGGTCAAAACACAGCAACGCTTTGCGAGTGTGAAGGCACTAGTAAGCAATCGCTAAGCTGTCAGCTTCGAAATGGCTGAAACAAGAAGCAGCGGCGACCCACAAGACCTTCCCGCAGCAGTGACGACGATGTACAGGAGGCGAGTAGAATTTCAATGCATTTCTCGATTAAGCAGCACGTGGAAATGGGTAATTGTTTCGCATGTTTTTGTTATAGGTGGTCTTTTGGAGTTCTTGGGGTCTGCACTAGAATTAAATTTTCGGACGATTCTCGAAGTAATGAGGGAAACGTAATCCGCTCGCTGCTCTATAAAGCCTAAAGCAATACCAACGCACTTTCTTCCTCACTCCCCCTTCCCCCTCCCTTACTGTTTACACTAAGGTTTTAAAATACATATTTTCGTTAATATAGAAGCTTCTTTATGCCTTAGCTTCATTTGCTCTCAACGAGATATTTTATTGGAAGTGTCTTCGTACAAGCCTGACGTCATTAACAGTTCGTGCACTGTTTTCTTTATTTTTTTTTGGGGGGGGGACGCCGTTGAGCCATAAACTTGATCGGTGACAACTGAAAAATTTGCTCGTGGGCCACATACATGTGACTCCTTCGTCGTACGTTGTGCAGCTATTTACACGGTTTGATTCCTCCGTCTCAGTAATCGGTATAACACGAAAGTAAAACGTGTCCTGACAGAAGTATTTTAGTGCTTACTGTACATTGATATGAGAGAGCTTATACACTCTCTGTTGATGTTTGACAGTGAGAGCTAACGCACCGTTTAGTGTAAATGCATCAACGTTAACGCTTGGTGACACATCTCCGTCACGAAGAGAAACGTCTATGATTAATGATTTATTCATGATTAAACGTGTCCTTGTGAACGCCTGTGGTAGCTGTAGTAGTTAACAGTGAGAGTAGAACCAAAGAAAGTGGTGTGACAGCCAGATGAGTGTGAGTGATTGTGTACGTCCAGTGCTCAACTCGCATGTCTATAACGACGGAGCATCGCGGGCGGAACAGCACGAGCGACATCTGCAGTCCCAAATATGCTACATCTGAGCATGCGCGGCTCTAGTGACGTTCCTGCCTTGCAATACTTATCCATGTTTATCACCACGGATGTAACAACTACTTTGGCCGTCGAAAGCGCTTTGAATGATTTAGAGAAAAAAAAGCAAGCATAAAAACGAAGTTAATCGTTCTCACTGTGATATGATATTACGAAGCGAGAATAAGTTTGTAGTATAAAAGCCGCCTATCCGGGAGCCTTTTATACCACTGGTTTCTTTTCTTTTTAATTGCTATTTTTTTCTATCTTTTCTTTTGGTTCTATAATGTTGACAGTGCTTCGACGGCCAAAGCAGTCAATGCGGCCCCGGAGATAAAGTGTGGAAACTGCAGGGCAGGCACACCTTTGGCGCCGCGCATGCTCAGATGTGGCGTATTCATGACTGCAGATGTTGCTCGTGCTGTTCCGCGTGCCACGCTCCGTCGTTATATTGTTTGATTTGTGGGGTTTAACGCCCCAAAACCACCATATGATTATGAGAGACGCCGTAGTGGAGGGCTCCAGAAATTTCGACCACCTGGGGTTCTTTAACGTGCACCCAAATCTGAGTACACGGGCCTACAACATTTCCGCCTCCATCGGAAATGCAGCCGCCGCAGCTCCGTCGTTATAGACATGCGAGTTGAGCACTGTACGTCAAATGTGGGCTAAGGCTGCCTACTAGCGGCATGTCCGAGTTGAACGCCACTGAGTGATTAAAGGGATTGATTGATACGTGGGGTTTAACGTCCCAAAACCACTATATGATTATGAGAGACGCCGTAGTGAAGGGCTCCGGAGATTTAGACCACCTGGGGTTCTTTAACGTGCACCCAAATCTGAGCACACGGGCCTACAACATTTCCGCCTCCATCGGAAATGCAGCCGCCGCAGCCGGGATTCGAACCCGCGCCCTGCGGGTCAGCAACCGAGTACCTTAGCCACTAGACCACCGCGGCGGGGCGTTGTGATTAAAGGGAAACGCAACGTGCGTTGTGGCATCGCTGTTTCGCGGCCACAATTTCGCATGGCGAGGGTGAGCGGGGAACGATTCACACTTGAGAAGTGAAGCGATAACGAAAACGCCAGAGCAGCCGGAAAACCACGACCAAGCGTGTCGATATGTTCACATTCGTTCTGCCCTTGACGCCGCTGCTGGCTTAGGTATATCTTGAGAATTAATTCAATTTTGCTTGTTTTCTGAACACTAAATAACGTACCCAATTGACGCAAAGTAGGGAAAAGAAACAGTTTGCACCTTTTCAAACGTTGTTTCGGGAGATAAGCCAGCAGAAACGAGAGGAGCGAACGCACCGGAAGCAGCAGCGGTGGATTCAGCCGGCTCTGCACAAATGCGAGACACGTTCGGGCACGCCAACTCGCTGCTGCTGCACCAGCCTTCTCCATAGCATTAGGATAGGATTAGGTAGGAAAAGAGTTCCCGGTGATCGTAATCCAAATCAGGCTCTCGAAGAACGCGTCGTCGTTGAGGCCGTCGTCTTGCTGCACGGGTAGTTTGCGGTTTCAGCCGATGCGAGGCACCGCCGATTTTGCCGATGCCTTTGCCGCCATTGTGAATGGTTTTATCACGTAGTTTGAGCTATTCTATGTCACTCTATTTGAGATAACGCAGCCAAAGCCGTGAAGCGGAAACAGGATCCGCTTTAGTGTGGCGGGAAAATCGGTCTCCGACCAAATTTTTCGTGCTGGCCGTGCGCAGTAGTTTTCCCGGCCGCTTGGGCGGCGAAACGAGCCAGTTTCTGGAGAGTTTCGCCACTTACGCTCTTTTCGACGCCAAGTGTGAACGCGCCCTAAGGGAACATGGAGTTACATCAAGACGAAGTGGGCACGTTGCTCTAAGCGTTGCAGAACCATTTTTGGTATGGACGGATGCTATGAGCTACGCCGACGCTTTATGTAAGGTTACCACCTGTAAATATGCAATGTCGTCGGCAAAATTGCTTTTCCTATTGGAAACGCACCGAATATGACGGGTGCGTAGAAACGACGCGTTGATGAAAGTAATCCTGGATTGTACAGTCATGATGCATTGTTACGCTTTACCAAGAGAACTGGGAGAGATTAGTGGTAGATATAAAAGGCCTTTTATGTAATGCTCACGAAGTTTGCGAGTGTGGTGCAGTGGATAGCGTGCCCGGCAGCTGTTGTCGTCGACCAAAAGGTCATGGATTCGACTCCTGGATTCGTCATGGATTTTGTCTGCTTAGGGCGATTTTTAGACCTCCTTTCTGTGACGGAAGTCAGTGACTCAAATCTTGGTGGACTCCGGCATAAAACACTTTCGTGTAAAAAAAACTTAAACTTTATTGACGTGACAATTAAAGAACAATGTTTAGATGATCTCTATGCAGTCACTGAGCTTCAGCCCTTGCCTTCGCACCGCAAGGGCAGTGTCAATGTGTCGACGGCAATTTAGACACGTGCTAGGTTCCCACGCTGCTCGAGGCACACTTCCTGATGGGCTGACCGCATCAGAGTGGTATGGGCACATTGATCACTCCCGTAGAAGCCTCCGCTTTGCCGCACGGGGTGCACTTGCACGCGATCGGGTTCTGGTAGTCCTTCTGGATGCGGTGCGTTTTCTGGCCCTTCTCGCACGTCAGCGTCACTTTCTTCGGCTCGGATTTCATGATCGTGCAACAGCTGCATCTCGTCGTGAAGTTGCTTGTCTCTGCAAAGAAGAAGTGTAAATTTAAGGGTGCATTTTTTTGTTATATACAATATGAGCGAGAACTAACAGACATTAGATAGAGAGAGAGAGAGAGAGAGAAAAGCGAAGGAAAGGCAGGGAGCTTAACCAGATAGAATCCAGTTTTCTATAATAAACGGGGAAGGGGTAACGGGGAGGACAAAACTTTAGATAGAAAGAGAGGTAAAATAGTACACTAGCACGCATAGCAGCATGTACTGCACATGCCCACAAAGTCATCAAACTCGGCCCCTTCGACTGTCTTAGATGAAGTACCCTACAATCTATGATGATAAATAAGGCTCAAGGACTGGCTACAAGGTATCCAGAACTTGTAGGGTGCTTTGAGCTGATGGTGTTGTCAATCCAGTGGGGAGTGTGCATTGTGCTCCTCGACGACTTCAACTAAGCGATGACACGTAGGTCTTCGTCGCGGAGATCCTTAGTCAAATCTTGTGTCTTGTGGACCATCACACAATATGAGAGACCATTTGACTTTTCTTCTCAGCAGCTAACAGACAATGATGCCAAGGAAAGTATAGAGGATGCCATTAGGAGTAATTTTAATGCTGATGTGAAGAAAAAAGTAGATGAAGCGATAACTTGCCGCCGGCAAGATTCAAACCTGCAGCCTTCGAATAACGCGTCCAATGCTCCATCCAACGATTGAGCTACGGTGGTGGCCATCCCCCCCGTCCTCTTAATAAGGTATACGTGTGCATTTAAACGTGGGAGTGTCTGTCAGCATGCCTATATATACCCTATGCTTCTCTTGGCGTCATTATCTGTTAGCTTTCAATAATGTGTGCAAGAACATAGTGTGACGTAAGCAGCACGGTTAGCTTTCTGTGGTTACGTCGTATAATCAAACTATATAGGCGTCATTGCACGCACGCTGGACCTTGTCGAACCGGCCCGTGTAGGCACGAAAATCTAGTTACATCCTGAAGAGCATGCTACCAGAATAAGTTTATAAATGTACGGGTAAATATATTAAGACGTATTGTATGAAGTGACGTGGGCTCATACAAAGGTTACAATATATATATATCCCAAAGTGCGTGTGAATTGTATGCAAAGCAAGTAGCATTATTACAAATGCAAATAAAAGAGAAAAGAACTGTTTGCAAAAATCTGTTGTTTTCACGGGTATATCAAGAGACAACTACTTTTATACTTTTCGACCGCCCTTAAATAAAACACTGTGCGATATCGGATAGACTTAGACCATTGATCAACAACAAGCCGGGAATGTGGAAGATAAGCCAAAAGCACGAAAGATTTTCGTTCGTTGGCTTTCACATTTCGAATTTTTCCGTATCTGTCCCACTCTTTTTTGTTTTTATTCAATATTATTTATTTTTGTTTTTTGCTTCGAAGTGAGCTTAGGCACTTTCGCTCAGTCGTAGTGGACAATAAATCTCCCCATCGCAAAACAGTTGTATTGGCTCCCAATGTTCCTCTAGTATATAGCATGAATTACTAAATGTATGCACTGCGCAGAAAATCAAAGCGATAAAACGCACAACTTTCCGGGGTATCAACAGGTCAAAGCATCAAAAGCGATTCACAATAACGTTGATGTTATCGTCATTATCATCATCGTCATCGTCCTCATCATCATCCCATTGTCAGTCTGTGTTATTCCACTGTAGGATGAAGGCCTCTGCCAATGACCTCCACTTTACTTCATCTTGTGCGACATGATGCTATTTTACACCAGCGAACTTCGTAAATTCACCGCTCCCCTTAACTCTCTGCCTTCCCCGATGGCGTTTGCCATCCCTTGGTAACCACGAGAAGAAAGATGATTGACAAGAGGTTTTGAAAATGGGGTTTGGGGGTGAGCAGTGTCTCAAACAGACTATTAGCGGCCATGGAACAACAGCGGAGCTATATACACTGGCAGCAAGGGAATATCAGGCAAAACTTACCCGGACTATAAACAGTACTTGAAGTGCACTGTCCACGGCATTCGGCGAGGCCTGGTATGGTCTCCGCGTTCGAGCATAGCCCATGCTCGGGATCATTCAAGAAGAAGTACTGCGCCGTCTGCTGTTCGGGTAGTTTATAAGGTGCACAGGCGCCTGCATCGAAAAAGAGCGCCTGTTTTAATACACGGCCCTATGTAAAGGTTATGTTTTTAGCGTATGCGTGTATTTGTAGGCGTGTAGGTATACGTGAACGTGTAAGCACGTATTTGTGCATTCCCTCAGAGCACGCGCTCGCGAAAATGACAGTGAAGGAAATGCTGAATGTGAAATAGCCTTTTCAGGCGACGTCATTACTTCCGTAAAGTCACACCTCGGAACGATATTTGCATATAACTCGACTCAATCTTCTTTCGTTAAGTGGTGTAATATGCACGCATATGTATGAAACAGTGTGAGACACCACCACCCATCGCGCAGAGCCTGAGCCAGCTTTTTACGTCACACGGAGGATATGAATTCGGCCTTATAACCAGCGAACATAGCTGCTTACTGTAACGTTTCGAATGGGCTGACTGGCGGAATTTCCGGAACGTATCCACGCATAATAGAGCCAAGCATAACAGCTGTTAAGATACCATTATTAAAGGAGCAGTGACATCAAACTTCAAGATCGAGATGTGCCCATCATTCGATCACTTGGTATGCAAAGGTCTTCTTGGCCTAACTTGAATGACGTCCGTCGCGTCGAAGTTATTTTATTTCGACGGGAAAAAGCGTAGAAAAGCTAAGGAAAAAAACACGAAAAATAGACTGCCCTGCGACATCGACACTAGTGCTACGTGTTCGTTGTGATACTTTCCACAAATACCATCCCGAGTGACGATTCGCTAGTAACGATGACGTCGACAATCTTGTTTGGAGCCGACTCCCATCCATGCTCTCAACTAGTGGCTCTCCTTGCTGTGTTGAAGCGTGCGTGCGTCATCGTATCGTATCGACTGATTTGCGTTGTGCTCCACTGCGTGTGAGTATATCATTCAAAGCCACAATACGTGCCAGAATGTAGAGGAAGTGCTGCGTAGTGAGAACCTGCACGTGGAGGCACGGAAAAAGCTGGAAGTGCGTGGGGTTTCATGCCTTTCCAAGTCACGAACCTGAACGCAGCCAGTGGGTTGACTTCGTACGCGCCGTTGGACAGAGGGACTGGACGCCTGTGAAGAACAGTCGCATTTGCTCCCTTCACTTTCCGGTGAGCTGTTACAGGGTAAATCCTGTGTTGGCGAACCAGTTGAGTTTCACTGCAGTATGAGGCCTCTTCTCGGAGGCCGGGGCTATTTCCTACCGTGTGCCCTGCTGCAGCTGAAAGCAGCGATTCACTCACCAAACGTCCGCGACAAGAGGAGCGTACGTTGGTGTTCCTGAGTTCTGACAGTACGCTTCCGGGACTCATAAATACATTGAATTTAACACGGAAGTTTGTCAAGCAAGGATCGTCGCGGATCACCGCGACACCCAAGTGCCAGGTCGCTGTCATCATCACTTGCCGATGTTGACCGTGACGACGGCGACAACGACGATTTCGGCGACAGAGGCATGTTAACGCCTTCAGAGACACAGCTGGACTGACTGTACGCGCGCTCCTAGCAGACGAAACGCCAGTGGGACACCACCATTTTTTGTGAAAGCGTAATCAGCTGTGCAGCGGCCTCAACGTGGCCGCGAGGTAGCGCTGTCAGCACTACGATTTGGCGGGCTTTCCACCCATTTTGAACCGCGTTCAATAGCGAATATATTAATAAATATTACAGACTCTCAGTCGTTCACAGAGATGCGTTTTAGGTCACGAATCGCTACTATGGGGTCAATAGCTACTCGTTTACGCAAAAATCTTGGACATGAGTAAATTTGATGTCAGTGCTCTTCTAAGCTGGGTTGTACGCTACACCATCACTTTTTCACTGGTATGGTCGTAAAGACCTTCTCTATTTAGAAATGGTTAACATCTGACACAGAATTGTGTGAAAGTTTTACCCTAATGCCACTGTTTCAACCATTCAGAGCGAGATCATCCGGCGGTAATCACTGCTCGCGTGCCCTTCATTTCGAACAAAGAAAATTCACAATAACACAAGTACAGTAGTTACCACTCTGGTTAAACACTCTGCCTTTCCTTTATTTCATTTTTAATTGCAACAAGACAAGTCACAGTTTCAATTGGGGTCTCACTAATAACTTCAATCTATATACTTAAAGGGTGGCGGCGATGGCGTAGTGGTTAGAGCATCCGCCTCGCATGCAAGAAGTCCGTGGTTCAAATCCCGGTGCCGCGCAGTTCCCAACCGGATTAAAAAAAAAAATCCGCGTGTTGATGGAACTGCATTAAGAGGCCTGGGGTGCGGCCTCACCGGTAACCACCGCCGGAAACGCACTCCCTCACCAGAGAAGGATTGGCCACCCTGGTGCAGTATCTGGCCATTACCTCCCACATGCATACGTCAAATAACTCACGGCCCTCAGTCCCCAGCAGCTGCAAAGCAACTGACCACGGCGGCGGTCAGATCTGCAACGCAGCAGAGGGTGCTAAGAATCTCTGGATTCGGACAGGCCGCCATTGGAACCTGAACTTGGCAACGTTTAACGCTAGAACATTATCTAGTGAGGGAAGTCTAGCTGTACTATTCGAGGAGCTAGAGGGTGTTAAATGGGATATAATAGGGCTCAGTGAGGTTAGGAGGACAGATGAGGCCTATACGGTGCTGCAGAATGGACACGTCCTTTGCTATCGGGGCTTGGGAGACAGAAGAGAACTGGGAGTGTGGTTCCTAATTCACAGAAACATAGCTGGCAACATAGAGGAATACTATAGCATTAATGAAAGGGTGGTAGGTATTGTAATTAAACTGAATAAAAGATACAAGATGAAGGTAGTACAGGCTTACGCGCCTACATCCAGTCATGATGACGCTTCAGTTGAAAGCTTCTATGAAGACGTGGAATCGGCAATGAGTAAGGTAAAAACACAGTATACTATAGTGATGGGCGACTTTAATGCAAGGTAGGGAAGAAGCAGGCTGGATACCAGGCAGTAGGAGATTATGGCATCGGCATAGTGGAGGGCTCTGGAAATTTCGACCACCTGGGGTTCTTTAACGTGCACCCAAGTCTGAGCACACGGGCCTACAACATTTCCGCCTCCATCGGAAATGCAGCCGCCGCAGCCAGGATTTGAACCCGCGACCTGCGAGCCCTTCACTACGGCGTCTCTCATAATCATATAGTGGTTTTGGGACGTTAAACCCCACATATCAATCAATCAACCAGCTGTCTGCTCTTGCGCAACGATGCCAACAGGAACATGAGTATCAGCAACACCAGACGTGATAAGCTGATGTGAAGAGCTGGTGCTCGCGAGAATGGTAGCTCTGGACACTGCTACATAAATCAACTTCAGCGGAAGTACAAGTGAGGTTAACCCGATGTGACGGCTGCATCACAGGAGTACATATGTCATGTTTATAAAGTTGAATGGCCAGCACTCTAACTAGAATGAACGTTTCATGAACATTAGGGTCTATTTAAAAAGTATTGAGTTCCGAGACTTGACCTGGCTCTGTGATAGAATACTTGATTGCCTTGGAGAATGCTGGGGTTCGATTCCTTTTGAGAGCCGGTCATTTATTATTTGCATTTATCGGGTCAACGCTGCCGATGTGAGGTTTTTATTAACGCTCACACGGTAAAATTACCCATGTGCATCTGACAGCCTGCATCGATCCCTGCTCAGATATACTCCTCTTTCGATTTTTGGCTTTTCTTTCTATATAATTTTTTTCAGTCCAAAAGTACTTTGTGTTTGAAAAACCATAAGCCTTTTACTTAAGATCCTGCCACCCGGTTCTTGGCCGATCCCCCTCTGTGGGTGTGTGCCAGAGTATCAAGGATCATCATCATCATCATGTGTTCTGGTAGTTACTAGGTAGATATAGTGTGCCGATCACCTGTGGCACACACCCGCATACCAATGACACATACCCACCCACGGGTATGTGCCACTGTGTGGCGAAAAGTGTTTGCCGGCTTACGGGACAATATTGTGATATTATTCATGTTACGAAAAGCGCGTTGTTGTCAAACCATGTTACCCTCCCATACTCATTTTGGTTCACCCCAAGTTAAGGCGATTACCACGAGAGCACCCAGATATAGGTGTCTAGATATACACGTAGATAGACGCCCAAAGTGTCTGCAGTACGCAAAGCAATGCTTCGAAATTAATAAACTGCCCTCGTAAGCTGATCTTGCCATCGAAAAAGCCAGCAGCTGCAAATGCGTGGACTAATTTTGCTGTCCTTCGGGAAATTGTGCCATTTATTCTGATTTAGCAAACGAAAATTCTCAGTGATGTATTGGCGAATTCCAACATTATTAGTAGAAAAAAAGAAAAAAAAACGATTTGAGAAAATATAAGAACAATCGCAAATTTGAAAGAAGTTGGCGTAAAAATGTATGCCACTGCATGAGGTCGTATTACAAATTTATCTGTGTCTTGCAGTGTCGCGTATCTAACAGTCCTGAATTTGACTGCCACGTCTCGAAACGAGAAAGATGCATACGTTAACAATCAGTTGAAAGCAGAAAAGATGTCTTAGTTTTCATTTGCTAGAGAGATAAAAAAAAGATTGCGACAGCCTTAATTGGTTCAGTGAAGGACATCACACTTTAGCTTCGTTAGAGAATAAAACAATAAAAAGATATCTCACCTGGTGTAACCTTGCATATCTGGCAGCATCCGGTCTCATCGCGCACGATGCTGTTCTGTAAAGTTACATAACGGCGTTTTCACTGATTAATAACAACATGTTGGTGAACATGTGCGTCATAGTTGTTGCGTGGGGGTGCGCTTACCCTTGGGCAATTTGATGGTAGTTTAGGACACTTATTCAGCGTGTACTTCATTTCCACGGCACCGTTGTCACCACGCACGCATTTGACCTCGAAACACGGCCTGACGTTGGACACCCACGTCTCGCCGACCTGCACGATTGAAAGCGAAGCGGAAAATTGCGTTTACATAACAGATGGATGGTCATACAGAGTGTAACGCAAGATACACTTTGTGGAAATGTGAAGGGATTGTTTAACCGAGAAAGTTAACAGCAGACACGTATACCAGGGGCGCGGGCAAAAACTTTCGGCAAGGAACTTGTTGGTAGGGTAGGGGGAAGAGAACGAGAACCGGCGCATTCAGCATGGTATGGCGTAGGAGGTGCTGTAACTACATTTTATGTGTATGTACGTGTTTGTGTATGTGCTCGTATGTACACACCTGCAACACTGAAAATTTTCGGGCAGGAGTGGTTCTAAACTGTCCAATCCTACCGCCTCAGTATAGTAACGTACACCATAAAATTATGCCACAATCTAGAAACTGATCCATTCGACCACTGAAGAGTTAATGAACATTTTGGTCAACAGAGAAAACATCTTTTTCGAGAAAACGCCGCCTACAGCGACGCCACTCAATGCAGGAACGGGTGGTTTTCGACAGCTTTCTTCGACAGTTTTTTTTTTTCATTCTTCAAATTTTTTCCACAGATGGTTTACCAACTTCTCAAACTTTTCCTTTTCGTTGGTCATTTCCCAATGTCATAAACAAGCAGTTGAATTCACATAAGTGAAAACTAGGTTGAGGTCAAATTTCCTCAATGTATGAAAAAAAGAACCTGCCGTAGCTCCCTGGCGCGCTGTTCTCGGAGGGCGGCCTTTCAGAGCCTTTTCAAAACACTCATTGAGTAACTACTGCAAGCATACTTGTTTGATACCCACTAGGGCATTATAATAATAAAATATTTGGGTAGTAGGCCAGCATTCACTATGTTGTTTTTCGTCATTCTTCTGAGAAGCATGGTATCCGCTAAACACTTGCAAGAAATTTTGCCCCAATTGTTCATGCTGATGACGATTATGAACTACGGCTGAAGTGCATATGCCCCACAGTTAGTAGGGAACAAGAAGAAGCTTTTGTAATGGGTTGGAGCATCGGACGAGCCACTCGTTATGCTATTTGCATTGTGCGACGACTGGTTGCTCTTTCGCTGTTTTAAAACGCTTTATAAGCCGTATTAACGCGATTGATTTCCCGACATCAAGCCTACCTAAGGCAATTTTGCCAATAAGTTCCAAACACCGGTGTGGATTAGTGGTCGTGAGGTCCCAATCCTTTGGAAATATTCAGTGGCTCACCACACCCAGTCCTTACCTAAGCGTATCATTGGACAAGTATCAAGACAGTGAAGCATTTTGGCTTGAAAAGGCTGAAGAACTGCGCTCGACAGCCGAAGGATGGGGCGGTCGTGACTTATCAATTTTCTCTAGGTCAGCTGTATATAACGTGTTTTTGGCTGCTAAAATTATGTATCTTTTGCAAGTACTTAGTTGTACGCGTAAAAGCATTCATAAAATCTACAGAACGTTCGCCACGTTCATCTGGAGCTCTACATGGGAGCGAACATCTAGAACGAACTTGTTTCGACGTGTTAAGCAAAGAGGGCTGTCTTTGCGCCATCTTTTTCTTAACCAAGTAATATCACGTTTCCTGCTAATAAGAGACCAGAGAGACCCTTTTTATGTTCTTTATTTCAAACAACGCTCTTACACCACATGCCTGATTTCTTTGTATCTTCAGACAGGGGAGAACGACACACCTTGTCACCGTTCTGGCGCGAAGTCGTGTTCTCATATCGTTTTCTAAGGTCAAGGTTTTCGATAGATTACCTAACTAATGTGAAAAGAAAGCACCTTATGAAAGACCTAATACAGAATGTTTTTTCTGTGCCCCTTTACCATTCAAAGTATGTAAAATCTAATGGTCATGACGTACTAAAGCAAGTGAAGAACATGTGTACACCACCCAATGTGAAAACTTTCTTTTTTAAACTTCATACGGGAACATTCCCAGTAAAAACATGGCTTGAAGAGAGAGGGATGTATGTACCATGGGGAAGCAGCTGTCTCCTGTGTAACAAACTTGAGACCATTGAACATGTGTTCATTGATTGTAAGAATGCTATTTTCTTTTGGGACATTTTACAGAGGACTTTAAAAAAAGATTTGTCTGTTACTCCATATGGAATTCGTTTTTTGCCTTGCGATAGTTCTGTGTAAAATTTGGATGTTATATCTTTACTGGGTCTTCATTTGGTTTGGCGTAGTATGCTATCGTACAGACACTGTGATGTAAGAGTTCTATCCGTTAATGAGTGTTTGTGGAAGCTGTTATAAAAGTGCAAGATGTGTATAAGACTACCGACTGTGTTGAAGATGTAATATCTTTGTTCGATGCGTTATCACGCGTGAAACACGTGTGATGGTGATTGTCAGATTAGCTTGACCTGTAGTCAAGAAGGCAATAAAGAAAGAAAAACCGGTGTGGATCAGTGGTAGAATACTGAGCTGGTACCCAGAAGATCCGGGTTCGAGCCTCACTGTGTCATTGGGGCTAGGTCTTTCTTTTCTAATTTCGCGCGATGTGGTTACCGACACCAGCGGCGGACAACTGCGCGTGACCCGCGTTGTGATCTCATGAACAGCTTTTGCTGTAAAAAAATGCGCGCGAACGACTCATAAACATATGTTTGCAAGCATTACGCGACTTTGTGTACATTTTTTTTTTCATTTGCAACCAACTTACCAACTGTGGAAATATAATTTTTTTTTCTTTGGCCTACGCTACTTGACATGACTCATTCCAGGATGGGTACGGGGTTTCTGTGGCATACAAAACTTCCGGGTACCTAGCGATATTATATGCATACGCTTCAATAAGCAAGGCTTCTTCTTAGGGTTGTCGGAAGACAAAGGACTGCTTAGGTTGCAGAACGAACACAGCTGGTACCATTGAGAAATAATTTGAATTTCACCCCTACGGAAATTAGAAATTTCGCGTGCGTTGAATGGTAAATAATAATCAACACCACCATACTGAATGTTCTCTCTCCATTTTACTCGCCTCCCCCTCCCACCCCCTCTCTCTCATTTAGGTTTATATGAAAGCTGTGCATCGTTCCTGCCTGGCTTTCTGGTTCCCCTGATCCACACCTACCTAATCGTAACATTTGATATGATATGATTTGATATGATTCGTTTTACCTCCACCAAATATGTTACGGAAAAGAAGAGACGCCGTACTGACAAGGCTTTGGATAAGATGTATGTGAAACCAGCGGTAATGGCGTGACCAGTTCACCAGCGATCGAGCGGAGACCACCCTGCGTCTTCCTCGTCAGGCACACACGCGCGTCGCCCCCTAGAATCTCAGTATGCATGCATGTAGCGATATCAAGCGCATGGGTTGATGGCTTCGACGTACCAACATGCACCAATTAACATGTGGTAGAGGCCCCATTCAAAGAGAAACGACTTGTTACTTGCATTTATAGTGCCGCTTCGACGTTGTTAGAAGAGAGAGCAAATAATAGAGAAGGAAAGGTAGGGAGATTAACCAGTCCAGGTTAACAGGTTTGCTACACTACACGTTGTTCAGACGTCATTTGAAGTCTAATGCCCCTGACACACGGGCACCCTGAAGTCCTTTAGACAAGGGGACATCTTTCGGAAAGGCGTTCGGGCGCAGTGACACACGACAAAGGAGTAACTCTTTTTCGGCAAAGATCCTTTTCGCAAAAGCAAATCCCGCATCTACTTTTCTGGCAGGAAGGGAGTACTCTCGCATACAGTGTGCATAATTTATCAATAGAAGAAAACGTGTCGCAACACTGCGGTGCCCCGTCAGTATTTTTTTGCGCTGAGGAAATGTTTTCATTTCCAGCAGCAGTGCGATTTGTTGAAAAGTAAGGCCTATAGTCTGTTCATACTCTCAAACGCCTGCATTACGTCACTAGCGCGATCATGTTAGGGTTGGCAGCGGCAGTTGCTGTGTCGGTGACGTAGTATCTTGTAACAATGGAGTCGGCTCAGTTGGTGAAGAAAAAACCGCGCGTCCAGTGGACTAAAAAGGAGACCTGGGCGCTGATAAAGCTATGGGAGGACCATTTGGACGCCTTGCGAGGGCAAATGCACAACGGCGGAGTGTACCAGGCGATTACCGAGAGCCTCACCAACGCCGGTATTCCCCGTACACGGGCGCAAATTCACAGCAAAATTGCTTTCACAGCGTTTAGCTCATCTTCGATGGAGCCGAGGGCGACAAGAGTCAAGCCCACCTCAACTGTTGCTTTATCTCTGTCTCTGCGCCGAGACATCGCAGGACCACGATGAAACGCGGCACGCCGTCACTGACCCAGCTGGACGCAGCCATGTAAAAAGCACGACAAAAAACAAAGACAGCAAAACACGGACTGTTCATAGTTGCCAGACGAACTTAAGTTGCGGCTAAAAACGCAAAAAAGCGAAAAAAAGTTACAGGTATGCGCATTATAAGCCACCAGACAAAAAAAAAAACTGATTTATGCTCCGGCGTCGCTGAATGTGATGTACATGCGTAGATGCTTTTTAATATTTCCAATCTTGCTGCTTCCACAAACAGCGCCATTTTTTCTGCAGCGTTCTTTTGAGGCACCGCCTAAAGCAGTAGTCTGGTGCCGTGTGTCATCAGCGCCACTCCTTTCTGCAAGTGGTCCCCTTAGGTGACAAAAGGGGTTTACTTCAAAGTACTTTACTTTTGCCCGTGTGTCACGGGTATAAAGGTATACTACTGCCCTCACCTGGTACAGCTTTCCTCCTTCTTCGCAGTACTCGCGTACGCAGCGACCACAGCAATCTCCAGAGCCTGGAGTGGGTTCTACATATTTTTCACTCTGAAAAAGAAACATAGATTAAAAAAGATGAAGCAAATAGAAGTACTGCAACCTCTGAAAGATTTAAAGTGTGCGAAAGTTGCCCTCAAGTTCAAGAGAGAGACTGCCAATGACAAGGAAGAGCTGGTGCAATGTTGCATACTTCAAGCAAAGCTGAAATTTGGGTGAGTTACTGGAGTTTCATCTTGTTTTGGCAGCACAAGTAAGGTAAGGACGAAATAATGTAAAAAAATATTTGACACCTGCTTCATCGTTTCTATTTTTTTTACTTAACAAATTGTTTCCACCATTGTGCATGCTTTATACTTCGACTTCTCCGAATTATTTTTATACTTGTCAAATACACCACTTCGAGGGCCTAAACAAAAATTAGTTACTACGATTCGCTGAGTGCGACTTTCTGATGCAGCCAACTTCATTCAAGCCAGTTATGTAGATGCACTTACTGAAGCGTCACTGATATACTTTTGACGTGCATAGGATCGAGTTCAGGGTTTCCTCCTTGATTACGGTGTTAATTGCAGAAAAATTGAGGCTCATTGCTCTAAAATGCACCGATTGATTTTTATTCGATTCCTTGTAAACATTGCGCTTCTAAGAATTTTAACCTTTTCCCGAATAATGTGCTGCTCTCCTTCGCAGTTGTATTTCTTAGCTGCACAAATTAAAAGGTGTGCTTGTAGATAGATGTGTGTGCTCTTGTGGGGTTTTGAAGACGACGCCAAAAGTTCAGCTGTTCTATATTACAGATACGAGAACAAGAAAAAAATGCATCTAGTCCCAAAAGAGCTTTTTGTTATCGTCGGCGCTCAGCCCTACGCATAACCGAGAACATGCGCGAAGCATCACATTGAGGTACCATGGTCTGTATGGAGGCGGCTAAAGCGAACAAAAATAAAAAAGAAACAACTGCGCTTTGAACGGTATGCAACAGAAAGGGACGAGAACAAATCTATTACTACATTTTATTAAAGATTATTAATGGCATGAGGATCGAGTGACACAGGGCCTTGTTTCTCTCCCAAGCTCTTCACAGCACTCACTTTGGCTTTTTCAAATATCAAAGAATCCATTTTAAGAAACAAAACAGGTTCAAGACTGATAGTTCTGGTTCGAGTTAGGAGTTATAATAAATACATACATTATAATAGCACAAGTTTACTTAATAAGGTTAAGAGCCAATTAACTGTCACAAAGCTAATGTGAATTATTGAATCAGTTCATTTTATGTGTTCACAAATGATTTTGTTTCGAGCAGCTGGGATCTTTGCAGCACCTGTCGGAGCACATCCCAACCAAGTGCTTCTTTGTACGTGGCCTCCGAGATCGACTGCGATCCTATGCGAGCACCACTATGAAACGCTCATTTCAAGGATAAGGATTGCCACCCGAATTTTGAATTTAAAGAGTAAAGAATTACATTTGGATAAAAACTTAATTAAAATGACTCACGAGTACAACAGTTCCTTAAGCTTATGCTCACCGTTCGACAGGTGCTGTTGCAGATGTGTGCGAGCACCACTTTGACGGCTTCGCCCGTGGTGGACGACCTTTCGCAGCGGTACGAGCGGCACTTGCCTTCCTCGGGCAGCTTCCATTCTTCGCCGATCGAACGCGTCTGGCCACCGCCCCGGCACGCGGTGCGTTGCTGTTCCGGGCAGCACACCCCGAAGTTGCGCGAAGACGCCGAGTACTCGTAGTCCTGTGTGGGAGGCACAGCACGTGTCACCGGTGTTTACGCGTGCTTGGCTGTTTTTTCTTTTACTATGAGGTACACGAAGAAGCCGTCGGTTCGTGGTTTGGCTATGGAGACTAATGCTTAACACAGTGAAATTTGTTGTTAAGCTAGTTGGTACATGCTTACTGAAATTAAAAAAGGCCCACCAAGAAAAGGTCCAACGCAGAAGGTGCAATTTCAATGCCCAATAGGGGCCATCACTTGTATACACGCACGTTTTATTAGCTTCGCACCGCACTGTGGATCTTGAGTTTTGTGTTGAGTTTGACACCGACTTGAACAAGCGACTGTAACAGCAATGTCACACACCGCGAAAGACAAGACTGGACTATGACTGAGTGTGCGCGCATGTGCTGCCGAATGTGCTGTTTCTATCTTCCCTCTCTGCTCTCTTTCATCCCCCATCCCTCTCCCATGCGCAGGGTAGCAAACCGGCTGCCTATAGGCTGGTTAACCTCCTTGCCTTTCTTTTCCCTCTATTTTCCTTCCTTGAGTTTTGTGGTTTGCTCTTTTTTTCCTGTCTTCCTCTAGGCTGCGAGGTATCGCTTCCCTAATTTGCAATACCAGCACTGCAGCGATGTGTTTTCAGTTACGTAAACGACAAGGCTTTATAGAATGGTTTCTGTGGAATCGTTTTTATTGGAATAATAATTCACAACCTCACGGTACACTAAAAGCTAAGTGTAGACCTTCTTGCATTCTCGGTTAAAATAAATGCTGTCTAGCCAATAAATGAAATGCTCTAACACACACACGCACATACAAACACGCGCGCGCGTGCGCATGCACACACATGTGCGCGCTGTGCAGGACAGGTATGCCTTCGTGGGTAACTTTTGAGAGGCGCTTTATAAAAGCCGAAAAAGGTACGTTTTATTATTGATATTTTTTTTTGGAAAGGCATGGGAAACCTGGATGGAGGTAACACATGCTCAAAAATAGGGCTGCAATGCTGGAGTGATAAGACCATGCAAAAGGCTCATACAGAGACTTCACTGACCTCACTGTCCTTCTGATGGCTTGGGCACACTTCAACTTTGCAGCTGTACTGGTACTGGTTGAAATGCTCAGTGCACGTGCAGTTGGTGCATAGGCCGTCTGTCCAGCTCGAGTCCACCTGCACGCATCCGGAAACGCAGTGAAGAATTTTCGCGAGCACTGGTGGTTTCATATACAATGGGAAAGGAAGAAGGACGTTGAAAACCTGTTGTAGACTCGTACACGTATGCGAAGCACCATATACAGTCGCCAGCAAAGATGAGTATGCTCACCGGATACATCTTTTGGTAGCGCTGCTCGGGATGCAGCTGAACCTGCATGCCGTTCACAACCTTGTACTTGTGGATGTAGGCGCATTTGTTCTTGGGAACTGCAACGGCCAAAGAATCATTGGAGGAGTGAGAGCTTTGCTTGACAGTTGCGATCGGCGCAGCTTCTGTTCTAGGTAGGTTCAAAAAATTACAAACTGCAATCTTCACTTGTCTTGTCACAATCAGAATTTTCAAACGAGACAGAAAGATAGAAAGAGAAGGAATGAATAAAGGTAGGGAGGTTAACTATACTACGTTTAATTTGCTACCTTACGCATGGTAAGGGGAGTAAAGGAGTAAAAGAGATAGATACAGGAGGAGATGAGCATTGCACTCCACACACACAATGCAGGGTTTCACAGTCGGTCGCTCAGTGATCTAGAAGGGATCGCGCGGCTTTCTGGGCTGATGTAGCGCGGCACCATGCGCCCACAATCTTTTTACGTGTAAAGAAACATGCCCGCAAGATCTTTTCCTGAGTAAAGAAGCGATCACCCAGTCTTCTCAAGGCACAATGGAGAGTCTGATGATCTTGTTCAAAGTCAAACGAGATTCTTAAGAGCGTATAATGCATAGCGAAATGTGCACTGCGCATCGCTATAGATCTATTTTATGTTTTTATACACACTGGTAGGCGCCGTCGGCATACTGAGCACTTGTAGAGACGTCACGGCGTGTAAAGTTCGTCACCGCCCTCTATGATCATGTGACAACTGGCCCAGCAGCTGCAAAGCTGCCTCCGAGCACAGCGCGCCAGGGAGCTTCGGCAGGTTCCACACAACGCCGGGAAGCTCCCCAGCACGATCGGTGGACTTTGTAAAGGTTCGGAGAGTATAACAGTGGCCATACGTAGCAGCTGCCATAGGCTCTCGACGTGATAATTAAGATTCAGGTGGTCGAAATTATCGCGACCAAGGCGTGCCAGTGCCTGGCAACGATATCGCTGTTTAGGCATGCGCATTCTCGCAGCTTGTTTAATTAGGTGCCTTAAACTTCCAACACGCCACTTTAATAGCATAGCCATGAGATGAATTTATTGAGCTAATTCTGCGAATGACTGACTGCGATAGCTAGCGCGTAATTTTTGGCAATGGGAACAAATAAACGTTAATTAGCTTTTCAATGAGTGCATTTTTCTGATCGAGAGCTCGAGCATACAGATGTCATCTTCACTGATATTATCCAGCCTGTAGCACTATATACCACGGTTATAGCGTTATTGCTCGATCTTGATTAAGCTGGTGACGGTGAACCGCTGTGAACGGGATCGAACTCACAACCTCTTGGTCAGCATACGTGCGCATCGTAACCATGATAACACCACGGTGGAATGCTGATCCAATTGAATATCCGGGAAATTGGGAAAGATAGTTACGATTCATTGCAATGGGGTAGCTATGTAGCGATAACGACGAAGACAGAGAAGTAACACTAAGTGCGAGCGCATGCTTGTCTTTTGTGAGCGTCGTGACTCTACGACAAGGTCATATAACAACCCATTATTTGACGAAGAAACGTAGCTCGATATTGTCAAGTAATACAGAACGTGTTTTACAAAGTGTACGTACCACACTTGTAGATGGTGCAGCATTCTCCGGGCGCGTTCTCCAGCTCAGTCTCGGGCGGACAAGTGGGTATTCCGGGGCAATTGTTTACGTTGCACCGCACAGACACCTTCTTGCAGCACCCCTTATCCTCTATGAATGCCTCCAATCCTGGTTCAAGGCCCACGGGCCACTGCAGTGGCGGACACCTCGTCTGGTCGCATTCTGCGAGGAAGAGAAACAAAGCAGCGACCAAATTTTCAAATTCAGGAGCAAAATTACTTTTATTCTTGTGTGAAACATCGGCTCAACAACGAAGAAAGGTGTGATTTCTTCACGAGGAGTTTTGCACAATTTGAAACAACACAACGGCTGAGAAATTTGTAGTGGAGATCTTCAAGCAAACTTTACAACTCGATGATGATATATGTTGCTCAATATCGCCAGAGCGATTTGATGACCAAATAGCTTCCGCACATAATGTAGCCTTAAGATATGAGTTTTTTTTTTTAACGGAGGTCAAAAGTGACGTACATTACACAGAGCTTATTGCACGTCACATCCGCCTGAACGCTGACCAATTCATCACGGCAAGCCCGAAGTAAAATTCATTAATCTTTAGTTCAGCGGAAAAGTTAGATGTATCCGCTAAACAATAATGAATTCGTCGCAAAGCAGGGTATCTCGGACTCGTAAATTTTGCTCGTCGGGAAAATTAAACGAGAAAAGACACTTGTGAAGTTGCGGTGGTGAACACGCGTGTTGTACGGCACTCATGTGGCATAGGGAATGAAAAAAGAAGAACATAAGGAGCAAGAACGAAAACAACTGCTCGTTCAAGGTACAACAATGACACGTAAAGAACGGACGGAGATAAGTCCGGTAAGTTCATCGGCAACTAACCGCAAACATGCGTCGGACATCCGGAGCTGTCTGTCTTGATCTTGGTTATGGCACCTGGTAGGCATACTACTGGTTCGGGTGCCTTGCAGGAGGATATCAAGTTGGCATCTGCAGAAAAGGGGAGCAATAAAATTAAGTCACTTGGGTGGAGCCGAAAGGCGCTAATATGTAAAACAAAAAGAATAAAGCAAGGCTGCCTTATTGAGTTTTGAAATTTCATGCTGATTGTTATAAAAAATGCGTAGAAATTATTCTTACGTGTCGTCGACAGGGCACATCGCAGCTGAAGGCGACGAAGGCGCTACTGTGGTTTTTAAGTAAAAACGAACTTGTACAAGCGGGTAATGGCAATGATGTCGCTCACCCCCGAGAGTGATAAACTATATATGACTGACTGCGTGTGTGCGCTAAGTTATGCGCTGCCTTCCTCTCTCTCTGCTCTCCGCATTTCATTCGTCCCTATCCCGTTTCCATTTGTAGGGTAACAAACTGGTTATTTTGAACTCGTTAGCTTTCCTGCCTTTCCTTGCCTACTATTTCCTCTCTTTTTCTAAACGATATAAACACTCAAGGGAAACAATGCGTCGGTTCCGGCACACAAACTGTACTCCGAGAGCTCTGATGTCGTCAATTTCGCAATCACGGTTTGGTAACGAATAAGATCAAAGTTTTATTTTGAAACTTCGCACCAAAAAGTATGTCAGGGAGACGTTACGGATTTCAAAGTATCCTGGGTATCTAGGTGACATTAGCTCCCCGAAATTGCCTGAAACTCGGCATGTTAAGTCTACCACATCGTCCTAGTTTCTAATTATTACTGATTAGGAGCAATATATGACTTAGTAGATGCCATCAAGATGTAGGACATCGCAATATTTTGTGGAAGAATTTGAAGGGGGTGGATCCCGACAAATTCTCTTATTGGGGTTTTTTTTTTCGCTTACCAAGCGCTTCCTCGCTGCAAGCTTTGTGCCTTCAAATGGTGAAAGGGTTGTGCGCAAATATCATAAAAATGTGTTTAGTGTGCCTTTAAATATAATACTACCGCAGAGGTAGGTCTCGCAGCAGGTCCCGTTCTGTTTGGGCAGCTGCTGCAGCTTCTCGTCGTCTCTGCAGACTGGCGGCGGCGGGCAGATGATGCTGGTGCAGCGGATCTTCAGATTCTCGCCGCAGCCGCAAGTCTCACAGGGGCTCACTTGCCACGATTCGCCCACCTACGGTTAGTGGTTGAAGACAAGCACGGTAAAGAATGGTACCCAAACTATACAGCACGTAGTCTACGTGGTCTTTTTTTTCCGCTTTCAGAACCCTGCAATATATTGCATCTATACATTCCTAATCTTATGGAATCAGGGCAGAGAAGCTACTTTGTGCGATAAGATCTAAGTGTTGTGAACGTAGTTTATCGTGAAATGCTCACGTGAAGGATGTTAGCACCCAGCGAGGTGAAATTACTTAGACAGCATTGATCACAAATCTTATGGCCGTTTGCCAAAGCAAAAGTTCAACGGGTACGTGGAAGTAGGAAACTTGCTAGACGTTTCCGGTTTTGAGGATATGAGAAAAAAGGCTATAAGGAATCTGCGGAAAAAATATAGTAAAACAGCTGAAAGTCTGGCGATGACAAGAAAAAACGCTTGCAATGAAGATAACCCTCTTGTTTTGAGCGGTGTAATAAGGTATTATTTACAGATTGATATATATTGGACGTGAGGATGAGTTTGGTCACACCCGCGAACGCCAGATTTCAGTAGACATCGTCATGATCTCCCGAAGCAACTCTAGAAAGCATGGGCAGGTGCCGCTATCAATGCCACCTTTCTTTTATCAATCATTCCTTGCTCTTAGCAAAATAGTTCTGTGCCTGCGCCACGAGCCTGCGTAGAAGCGAACTTGTAGAGTTTCACCTATCACGCGTATTCCGGTTCGAAGGTTAAACCCACGACCAACAAGAACTGAAATCAGACAACAGTTAAAGCCACAGCGAAATAAGTACTCATGAAAACATGACAGCCTAACTGCAGCGTATTTACAGGAGAAGAAAGGTACTCTTGAAGTAGTATTTATTGCAGATATAGCAGATAGGTAAGCTGAAACATATGAGCATAATAATTTGACAGTGTTCTACGACGAAGGTCATATAACCTTCTATCAGAATTCTCTGCGTGAAAGAAAGAAATTAAAGGCGGATGACAAAAATGAGTGGCTTACCAGGTGTCCCTGGTCGTCACAGGACTCTGAAAGTAGTAAAACAAAAATGACAGCTTTTTATTTGAACAAAAAAAAAATCGAAGTTTCACCGCAAGGGCAAAGCAATGAATAAGATAACAGCAAATTTGAGTAATATACGAAGGAAGGCCGCTAACTCTTTCGGATACAAACTTGCGTAATTCTACAAAACGCTGAAGAGAATGCAACCCATCCAGGGAGAGGTGCAGTTTACGAGCTGTTAGTATCGCCTAAACACATAGCGGTGAGAGCCCATCGCGTATGCGAATCGTCTAACGATGCCTACCGAGATAACGCGCACGCCAGCGCTCCCGACTGCTCCTCTTTGATCAATGTTCGTAGTTACTGCTTGTGCGACGCAGCTTATCTCTTCTCCCCTTCCCGACGACGCTGAAAGACGGGCGGAGAATTTCCTCTTGGCTTCGCAAGACGTCAACACCGGACCTCGCACTCTTATTGAATGTGCCCTTTATGCGACAAAACGGCCGGCTTTTTTCCCTTCAGCTTCAGCCACGCTCATCGCCAGTGCTAGCACGCAGAACATAAGCTGCGCGGGTGATGTCATTAGTTTAATTTTATACCGAGCATGACGGCGACGAAAAAAAAACACCTAGAATGACCATACAATTCCTATTGCAATGAACGAAAGATTAACTCGCATGCAAAGAACAGTTGAGAAAATGATTACTCCTTTGGCTTGTGTACAATGGTATATCGTTATTCAGCATAGTCAAGTGCAAATACGCACGTCCGCATGTTACACGCAACATGCACTTTTTCAATACCAGCTTTGCTCATAAATATATGATCCCGCTATTACAATAAACTATGGCGTACCTAGGCACTAAAAGTGTCCCCAAGACTGCAGACCTCTGTATATAAAGACCATCATGTTTGTGTGAATATCAGTATTATACTGTGAAGCTTTCCCAACCTTTTGTGCACACACTTGTACAGGATAGCCACGTTTTGCGCCATTAATGTTGTATTGCGAGCGGCCTTCCGTGCGAACCTTCATTCGTGCAGAGACTGCTGCCCAAGACGAAGCTCATTATTCGTCCACGAAAGTGGGTACTGCTAAAAAGCTGTGCTAAACATACGTAAGCAAGAAAATTTGAGGATTGTTTTTTTCAGCTGCGATGGTCACGCATGTTTTGTGTCTTTTTCTTTGTTTTCACCAAAACACAGGATCATGATAGCTAGGGTCGTGGCAGCTTGGCTATAGTGACCACACGACTTACGTATACGCTGTTGTGTCCGTGATTAGGAATGTGTATATCAAGATGTCACTAAAGATACATCGCACCCGCATGTACACAAAATCATGATTTGTCCACCCTGAATATTTACGCTTGTGTTCGCGCAGTTTTGTCATCGCCTTCTAGCGCTGCGCAATAGGCGTATATCGAAGAATCTCGATCTCTACGTCGCGAAAGCATAAAATGTAGTCTGCAGACGTTGCAAACTGTCGTTGCTGCACACTGCGGTTTATCTTGCCCGATAGAGATAATTGTCGACAATCTTTTGTACACTTGTGTTTGTAAAATTAAGTGAACTTTCGGTCACGGAGTCATCTGTGTACAAAAAGAGTCACCTGTATTGACTTTCTAGTTACGAAGTTGCACACTTTGACGCAAAACTGTGGAAATCGCGATGTCTGTCTGGTCAGCGCGCTATCACTTTCATCAGCTGCTCACCGCAGTGCCTGGCGTCGACGCATTCGCCGTTCTTGAGGACGAAGCCACGCTTGCAGAAGCACGAGTAGGTCGGCATCACGGGACACGCGCTATCCGGCTCCTTGTAGTTGGCGCACGTCTTGGGGCAGCCGGTATCGCAGCGCAGTTCCATGTTTTTTGGGCAGCTGAAATCTGGACGCACGGGAGGAAAGAAAGTCACAACAGTTACAAACACAGGGCGTTTACAAAGAAAGATCATGTTTCTAACAAATGAAAAATAAAAAAACATGTTTTTTTTAAGTTGAGAAATCGCGTCTTATGCATTGTAAATAAACTTCTGGCTTGAGATCCGTGCATGGATTGGACATTTATTCATGAAGATTGCCCAGAAGAGTTGTACAACCACACCAATTCGTTTTTTCCTACTATACATGCACGTACGTTTTGCCTTCATCACTTATGAATTAAAGCATTCGGTCAACTACGCTATAAGCGAAGGTACGGCGTCATTACCCCTTTTTTACCGCACAAGCTCCATCAGACATATGAGTGTCGAGCAGCTTTCGACCGCCGAAGTAGATGCCATGTCTGTAATATGTTGCACTGCAGTGTCTTCTTGGTTTCTGCGCATAAAGGCGTATTAATGTAAGTGTTTTTTTTTTTGTTGTTGTTGTCTCGTGTGTTCACGTGGTTCCTAATGCATTCTGCGTTCAGTGCAGTAGTGTGCAAGTGCAGTGGCCAAATAGCTTTGCTCCCGTTTTCTGATATTGACTATGCACTCTTCAAGCGTGCCTTGCTGTTGGCTACTTTTAGGCTTCTAATGGCTACTAGGACCAACTGTGTCAACGATTAATTCATTTTTAATTGACGAAAACGCCAACGAAACCATGTCACTTTTGCACTAACTTGTATGGCTGAATAGTGGGGATTGAAAGATTGAAAAGAAAGAAGATGAAAGCGAGCACATGACAGAGTAAGGTATTTTTTCGGGACCACCCGGTTCTTGGCCAATCATATAGCGTGGGTGTGTGCCCCAGAATCTAAACTCTGTTCTACTCTTCTCACACAACCAGTCCCAGGTCATGACTCTTCCATGGTACGTGGCATCAATGTTAGCGTGCCTGCCTTTCCTTCACTACCATTGCTTATCTTTGGCGTGGTAGATCATATTTTATGCCTTAAAATTGTCGTCATGTCTTTCATCAAATGATCAGCCCGTGGGGTGCACAGCATTGAAGCGAAGTCTGGCGTGTTCTAGACGCGGCAGAAGAAAAAAAACAATACAACAACAAGTGGCTTTGAAAGAGGAAAAAGGAAGAAAAAAGCGCAGTCCCGTTACTGCCTCTTTTAATCGAAGGCACCTCCACAGTTAAGCGCAGGGAAGGGGGGGGGGGATGGGAATTAAAGAGACAGAAGAAAAAGAGGTAAGAGTATTTTTTTTCCGCTTTCTTTTAAGCAAAAAAAACAATAATGGCCCTATTCAGTTTGTTGCTATAGTATAATACGAAAAGTTGCAGCATTGACGAAGACAAGTCCACTTGCGAAAACGTTGGCTCCATCAACATCCCGTCTTCCAAAAATGTTTCATCAAACAAGCTCAAAAAGGTACAGTGAACGATCGCGTCTTGCGACGGTAGCACTATATATCTGCGCATTGCGTACCGCATCCGGAGTCCTGCAGCCACCGGTGCACAGACACCCCAGCAGTGGCGCAGCAGTGCTCGGCGTACTGCAGCTTGGAGCGGCACACCGAGGCGCTCAGGTTGCGAGAGTAGCTGGCGTCACTTAGGCAGGCCTTCTGGTACGCGTCCGGCTCGACGTACAGCTCGCACGCGTTCTCCTGGAAGCGGCACACCTCCGGAGGCACCAGCCGCTGGCTCGACGAGCGCAGCACCGTGCAGATCTCGGGACTGCCCTCGACCAGCCAGCTGTAGGCGAAGTCGCGCACCTCGGCCACCTGGTAGCCACTGCGGTGCTGGAGGTCGTTGCTCTCGTCCAAGTCACAGTCGCCTGCAAGCACAGCCACCTGGTACTCGCACATTTAAGTAACACAAGCCGAGGTACTTCTGACCTCTGACCGCTCAAAGCTGCATTGGCGCACGCATTGTTCTGCTTGGTCAACATTGGTCGGCAAGTACATTTCATGTTCCTGTAATGACAGCGACTGTGTTACTTTTTCACTCAGCGTGTATTGAACCGAATGACCGACATAAAAACCATATTTATAGCCCTACAATTTCCTACCAGTTGAAGTTAATAAAAGAAATGGCGTATTCACCTGGTCTAGTTTCTCATAACTAAAGCAGAATAAGCGGTAGGCTTCAGTAAAAGGTAGACAGGGTTCCGACTCTTCACATAAAATAAGTTATTGATATAACTTATAAAAACCGTAAGTGACATTGCCTATATGTTTTGATATGATTTCATATGTAACTATTCGTTACACTTATTTATTTATTTATTCATTTACTTACTTATTCTTGCACATGTTACTTAAAGACTTGGCGTGTTCAGCGAAAAGTGTTCGAACCACGAAACCTAAGCAGACATTTTTTTTCTTCAGGGATTCTCCAATCAACAGGACCAGTAAGTTGATATGTGTAATGTGCACAAAGCAGAACGACCACTTAGTTCCATATGCAAACCCGTAATAACACACAAAAAGCACTTTCAATTTCAACATAACTGACATCAGGGGAGCGCACAAAGTTTCACACGTTGATTCGAGAGGTGCCATTATGATTGTTACCAACATAGTGTCAGACATTTGATTAATGTTTATGGCCGAGAAGAAGAACGGGCCCGGACCAGCGGGGACTGACTTACCACAAAGGCCCGTCATCTTGCCGGAGTACGTGAACGAGGGCACTTCGATGCTGAAGCCGTAGTTGAGTTCGAAGTAACGCACCACGAGATTGATCGCGGGCACGTACACGACCGTCGTGCGACCCGGCACCCAGGAAATGTTGAATCCTCGCTGGCTCCACGGGAACTCCTTGTCTTGAAGTTCCCTGTCGTCAAACTGAACCTGGACATGGGAAAGCGGTACCGCTGTCACTTCGTTGTCTCGAACGAGGTTCTTACATTGGTGGTCCATAATCGAAACGAAATTTATCCTGAATCAAGTTGAGAAGGGTAGTAGATAAAGATACAGTTGAGGAAAAGCGAGGGCCGACTGTTAAAACATCTGGTCTGCGATACTGCGATGAGGCGGGGGAAAAGGGGAAAGAAAGATGGGGAAAGGAGCAGAGGGGGAAAAGGAGCAAAGAAGGTTTCATCATAATCATTGTGGTAGGATAATCGTAGTGCCGGACAAGCTGTGAGCACCCTCACAGTGACCCTCTGCTTGGATGTCAAAGAGACATCATTGAAAGAAAAGGTCTGTTTCAGCGCTAGGGCGAAACAGTGAACCCAGTAACAACCAATTGGAGTTGCTATACGAAGTAAGGCTAGCAGCTAACTCCTGTAGCATCCGACCTGGCCGACAACTCAACAAAACGCCTACGTGAGGGAACGCGCCTCCTGCAGCGAGCGAAGCCACCGTTGCGAGCTATCTGTCACTCCATCGCAAACCATGCGTTGAGACGAGCGCATACAAAGGCATGAGCCGTCTTGTCGCTCCTGTCGAGATAAGCGCGCACAGCAGCAACACACGTGGCGGGACACCTGCCCCAGTACGTGCGTTGCGGCTGTGCGGTAGCGCGTGAACAGGTAGAGCCGTTCCATGCGCTTGCCGCACAGCCGCAACGCACGTGCCGGCACACCTGCCGCAACCAAGCGGAGGGTGAAAGAGCGTCGCCAATTGGCATATTCGTCCCCCGCTTGCGTGCGGCAAGGGTCCCGGCACGTGCGTTGCGGCTGTGCGGCGAGCACGAGTAAAGGGTATAAAGTGCGCACTTATGCAGCCGCTCCTCCACTCCATGGGCCGTCGTGCGACGAAATACAGGCGGCGCGCTTCTTCTCAGCTAGCTATATGCATTCATCTCCTGCGATCGCACGCTCTATATGGTACATATTTGTACTTTACATGGAACATTACAGCGGTAGCTACACCGACGGCAAAAAGTGACTGAGAGCGTATAGATATGCTTTCGGCAGATGTATCACTACGATGAGATCCAGCTATATGAAATTCGCTCAATAACAAGACTTAGTTCGGCATATCCTGTAAAGCAATATGAAGTTTTGGATAATTTACCCTATTTCGGTGTTAATTTCTCAGTGCAAGTTGACTTCACGGCATTTTTTTAAACAGTGCCAGGATGGTGAATTGGCAATACGCAGGGAATTTTTTTTTAGTTGTTGCTTTACTTTCGCGCAGTTTCTCGATAGTGGCGCAGGTTATATGCAGGGGTGAGTTTTAGCAAGAAAATATGATATCAATGTTAACAGCGACTCAAGTTTGTAAGAGAAAGCTAGCATACTCATCGGGAATCGGAAGCATCGAGTGAATTGTGCCAATAATCCTGGCGTTGTTTTTGAATACTATAGTCAGTGCACTGCTTGCGATGATCAATGCAGAGGGGATATCAGCCTTTTCTCTTCGTGGGACTGTGTTGATTATCGACAGTTTCTTGAAAAATAGCCACATTATTCCACTCTCGGCATCTATTGCGTAAAAAAAAAAAAGGGAGCAGGGAAGCGAACGGCGACCCCGCACGACAACTGACACGACGAGGAATCAGGAGAGAAAGCATGCGATGGCAAGCGATAATTACTATTCGTCTTGCTGGCACTCCCTAATCAAACCGCGCAGTCTCCCAGTTCCATGCGCGAAAGTATACCCTTCCGTGAGCAGAATCCAATTCCTTGTGAGGAAAAGCGAACTTCTTGGATCGTATCGCACTGCCCAATATTTGATATATCAAAGTCTTCCCGCTATCTTTGTTCAATGTAGCCGTAAACTTTCCTGTTAAACCCCACTTAAAGGGACTCTAAAAAGAAACAATGACTCAGTTTAGATTTATAAAATGCACTCTGAGCACTCTAATGCTATAAGTTTCACTGTCATATAGTAGGAAGGTTAAAGTTTCATCTTTAAATGTCGCGCCAAAATCTGCGCGTGTGATGTAGCAAATTTCTAAATGTATTTTTTCGCATTTTCCCGACATTGGATCAATTAAATTTTCCGAAGCTTCATATGCTGGGTCTAGGGCACCCACAGAAGACAATGTACTTCATTTTTACCGAGTTGGAGCTATGTAGGATCCAGCAGACGCCTTCGAAATTTACTACGCCATGGGGTTTGGTGGGGGAACCTCACAGTGCTGTCTCAACTCCCCTTTTCTCTTCACATATTTTCTCGTTCACCAAACATCATGTCGCTGTAAGAGTGGTGTTTTAGAAATTGTGAAGTTGTACTTTACTTATACGCGAAAAAATCTTTATGCTTATTAGTAAATATTTAAAGCATTGTCGTGTTGAAAAATAGTTTGATATAAAGGATAATTTCATTTACCCAAGTTCTATGTAGTCGGGTCTGACTGTAGCGTACGAGTGCTATCTCAATAATGAAAAAAAACAGTTGGGTAGTATAAAGTACATCGTCGTGGCACCTACCCTCTGCCCTCTGGAGACCCTAACGTGGTTGTCGCCATAGCTGATAATGACGCCTTGCGTGCAAGTCGTGCGGGGCTCCTCGGGGCACTCGACATTGACGCCCACGACTTGGAAGTCGAGCGACTTGTCGCCCGAGATGTGCTGCGCCAGGACGTAGCTGCAGTTGCCCTGGAAGTCAAACGTGCGGCCGTCGAAGCTGATGTAGTTGGGGTCGCCGTGACCTCGGCACACGCCTGCGTAAACACAAGATTGGCGATCACGCCCATGGCAGTGCGACCTATAAGCTCGAAGTGGTAACGTAAAGTGAAAGAGGCCGGCACGGAAATATCCGTGCCACCTCTCTTTCTGTGTCGCGCGCTCCACCGCAGTGGTCTAGTGGCTAAGGTACGGAGGTGCTGATCCGCAGGTCGCAGGATCGAATGCCGGCTGTGGCGGCTGCATTTTAGATGGAGGCGAAAATGCTGTAGGCCCGTGTGCTCAGATTTGGGAGCACGTTAAAGAACCCCGTGGTCGAAATTTCTGGAGCTCTCCACTTATACAGCGACTCTCATAATCATGTATGGTGGTTTTGGGACGTTAAACCACACACTATCTATCTATCTATCTATCTATCTATCTATCTATCTATCTATCTATCTATCTATCTATCTATCTATCTATCTATCTATCTATCTATCTATCTATCTATCTATCTATCTATCTATCTATCTATCTATCTATCATATGTCTATCTATCTATCTATCTATCTATCTATCTATCTATCTATCTATCTATCTATCTATCTATCTATCTATCTATCATATGTCTATCTATCTATCTATCATATGTCTATCTATCTATCATATGTCCATCATATGTCTATCTATGATATCTCTATCTATCTATCATATGTCTATCTATCTATCGTATGTTTATCTATCTATCGTATGTTTATCTATCTATTATATGTTTATCTATCTATTCTATGTCTATCATATGTCTATTTATCTATTCTATGTCTATCATATGTCTATTTATCTATCATATGTCTATCATATGTCTATCTATCTATCTATCTATCTATCTATCTATCTATCTATCTATCTATCTATCTATCTATCTATCTATCTATCTATCTATCTATCTATCTATCTATCTATCTATCTATATCTATCTATCTATCTATCTATATCTATCTATCTATCTATATCTATCTATCTATCTATCTATCTATCTATCTATCTATCTATCTATCATCTATCTATCTATCTGTCTGTCTGTCTGTCTGTCTGTCTGTCGTCTGTCTGTCTGTCTGTCTGTCTGTCTGTCTGTCTGTCTGTCTGTCTGTCTGTCTGTCTGTCTGTCTGTCTATCTATGCGAGAACACACGAAACGATGCTCACAGTCGTGACACATGCCGGGCGGCACGCAGGCATCCCCTCGGCGCACCAATCCCAGCGGACAGAAGCATCCGGCCACGCACTCTTCGGGGCATTCCTCGGCGGTATTCTTGCTCCGGTGCACGTTGTCGCACGTGGGCTCGCACTCACTCGAAGGACCGCACTCGCGCCACTCCATGCCGGCTGGACATTCGGGCGCTGTGGGCAACGTGTGAACGCAGGTGGTCACCACCGGCACAACATTCGTACACTGTCTTTTGAACTTGCAGTATACGTTTACTCGCGGTCAACAACCTGCTTAGCCACTGTATAGTATACAAAATTAATGTCTATTTCTAGCTTGAGCGCGCAGGAGTAGCCTCATCCCCCACCTCCCCGTATTTGTGCATTTTGTATGAGTATACGTGCACACACATGTAAACACTTACGTACATAAGCAGAGTGACCCCCCGCCCCGCCTTTCCTCAAAATGAATATTTGTGGCCACACCCCTGCTTCAACGGTAAAAGCACCTTGGTTCTTTGTTGCAGCCAGCTCCTTGATCTTGTGGAAATTCCTTCTGCTCTATTCTACTAAACTCTTATAATGAATCGTTCACGGCTGGCTGATTTTACGGATAACGCGGACGAAATGTCTCTCTTGCTACTGACAATATGTGGAAAGCGTGAAACAGATATACGGGAAAGGAATCGGCACAATGTTTATGCTCAGCTACCGGGACGAATAATTGTGCTTGTATGTCGGCGAAATTGTGAACGTCCTGTCAAAATACTAAGCCACCTATATAATCAATACACTCAAACAGATGTTCAGCACCAGTAAAGGTCGAGCAGTAATTTCGACGCCAGAAAAGTTCCGCATATGTCGCCTGCGCGCTCACAATTCTTGCACATTCACGGAAAATATTTATTGACGAGCAAATATACAGCTACTTCAAGTTGTCCATCACGGTCATTTTGAACGCACGTTTTGCGTGCCGGCTACATATGGCAGGAGCAAACGGGTTTGTGCAATATGGCTATGTACGCCTGCTGGTATACACGAATTCGGATACGAGCGTATCAGAGCCCAGGAATCGAGGACGCTTCTTGCGGATGCTGTCCCAGGACATTATACAAACATTGAGACGAGTTGCTTTCGCGTGCATGAACGGTAACGGCAACGATATACAACAAGCACCGACTGTTGCTCACCGCATCCAAGAGACAATCTCCACTCTGACGCAATTTGGCTTCGCACAGCAGCTTTGCACGTTGACACGAATCCCTCGATGGCGTTGCACATGCACTTCTTGACGTCATCATCGCCGGAAGCCACGCAGTCGCACACCTGGTCTGCACACGTGCTCACCGATGACTTCAGCAGGTTCTTGTCTTCGGTGCAGCGGGACAGTGGCGGCGCCCTGAAGGGGTGAAACAATTGTGTAGCTAAAGTTAGACGATTGGTTGCACGAGATGATGTAAGGAAGTAAGTTGCTTCACGCAAGTTCTTAATTACACAAATGTTAAAAACACGCTAGTCAACCTTGAAACACTTCTTCTCTCAGTTTCCCGTCAGCAACGTGTACCGTGTCTTACTGTGACGCTGTAAATTTAATGGGGAAAATTTACAACTGGCTCTCGGTGTTGGCCAACCCCTGCTCCGCGGTTCCATCTAAATTTGATTGCGATAAAGCATTGGTGCATTTCCGAGCGAATTATCAGACGCGTAATGTATTAGTCCATCAAATCGATGCATACAGAAACATTCAACCTTCCAAATATTGTTGAAATTAATATACTTTCTTCGAAAAAGGCTAACAAAATGCAAACGCGGAGATTATTTCCAAACGAAAAAAAAATCTAAAACCTGCACATCTCACATGTACACGGTCCTTTAGGAAAGGGAATATTGCCATTCATCTGTTTATCGTGCAAAAAAAACAACAGAAGAAAACCTACACGGATTTTTCAGGAGAACCTTCAAGCTGAGAAAAATTTGTTCTTCCTGGTGCCGGGTCAACTACAAGCTATCTGAAGGTATCGCTGTGAACTAGGAATATCTTGTGTCTGAAAAATATGTATGAAGTACCTTGTACCTGTGCACTATGAACCGGTGTATTTAAAAAAAAAAGCAGCTTCGGCGACATTCACTGTCAAACAATATTTCATCCCTTCAAGCCCACATATTCCCCTGAAACTCTGCGTTCAATTTAAGCCGTTAGAGAGCATTTTCCCTATTCATCATCCTTCTCCCAACACGCACGATTGTTCAGAATTATTTGCCATATGTGGCCTGTCACTTGCGCAGTTGTAAGACCACCAGCAATAAAAAGGACGATGATGACAACATAAAAAAATTATGAAGGTGTGTTTATAGTAATAGTCGTGCATGTGTCATGACCAAATCCTTTCCATTGCCACACGAAAAGTTGTCTAGGCCAGAGGCAATCTCTCTTCGCATGCTTCGGACGGTAACATACCCTAGCCTCGATTCACTGTCAAGGCGTAAATGTATTAGTGTACTTTACCCACCAAGGCAATATGTAAATATTGAAGTTGTTATAAAAACAAATTCAACAAAAAGAAAAGCCGTCATTATCCCTATATTCATTGTGCTGCAAGCTAATTTATAGGGATTCAATGAGAACATAATCTCTATTCGAGGTTGTAGGTCGTATACATGCGCTCAAACAGGATGTCGTGCATCGTAAGGAATGCATCACTGTGTACACATCATGAATGTGCCGAAGAATATTATCAGTCGTTTCCGTCGAGTACGGGATGCAGTAAACTGCCACTTTGCTTATTATCGTGCGTCTATATCGTGGTGATCGTACAGCACTGCTTGCATAGCAAGCAGTTCAAGATAGCCACGTTCTGAAGAAATAAGCGCAATAAAGGGCTCAGCGCGAAAACAGGGCGCTTTATAACGATGACTAGCCTTATACTGTCGTTCGATAAGACATCTCACGACACCGATAAAAGCTTAACACCCTTTCTACACTCGACCTTCTACAAGCTTCAAGAATATTCACGAAAAAATCGGCCCCGTTTCTGCATGATAATCTCCATGTTAATCTGCAAATGTCGTCGAAAGACGATAGTCTTGCATCTGAAAAGATTGAACAAAACGTTTATTTGATGTTATGCGCAAGAAAATTCGTGAATGGTATTTTGGAAGCGCTCCGTTAGAGTGCCTCAAGCGTGCAGCGGATGCACTCGCTTGCACCAAGTCACGTCACACGCGAGACACCAGCGCTATCTGGCTGGTGTCTTGGGAAACGAAACGCGTGGCTCTGAGACCGACGTGCGCGCCCGTCTCCGATGTGATAAGGTGTAGAACGCAAGGAGACGGGTAGGTGCCACCACCGTGTCGTCTTAGCAAATCGTTGGAAACACTTCCCTTTTCGTGCAAGCGTTGCATGGTCAGCACCGCGTGATAAACGCTACGGTCTTTAGAATAACTTATGTATGCCTTTTTTTAGTAAAAGACGCACATACATTGATTGATTGATTTGTGGGGTTTAACGTCCCAAAACCACCATATGATTATGAGAGACGCCGTAGTGGAGGGCTCCGGAAATTTCGACCACCTGGGGTTCTTTAACGTGCACCAAAATCTGAGCACATGGGCCTCCGACATTTCCGCCTCCATCAGAAATGCAGCCGCCACAGCCGGGATTTGAGCCCGCGACCTGCGGGCCCGCAGCCGAGTACCTTAGCCACTAGACCACCGCGGCGGGGCAAGACGCACATACAGAATATATACGTGTTGTTATGGTGCCTCAGGTATGCGAGATAATTGCTTTTCAATTGACAATCGCACGAGTATGAACGCTGCACATTGAGCAACATTGATGGGCGCTGCGGATGGGGTCGGCCGTTTAAGGTATTCGCTGGTGCCGTTCAAAGTGTCCGGTAATGTTAGCGCTGAACAAACAGATAAATGAACTGACAGACAGACCTAAATTTTTGCATTGAAGGTCCCCAAGAAAGACTATCGTCTTTAAAAAAAAAACAATGTATGAAAGGCAGAAGTGTACACACGAGGGCTCGTTTTCTGTGTTAGACAATAATAATGAGATATGACAGACAGGCATGTCAAGGAAAGTATAGGAAATGTTATATAAGGTAATTATAATTGTGAAGAAATAAAAGTGGATAAAAAGATAACTTGGGGCAAGTTATCTTTTCGTCCAGCTTCATTTCTTCCCATTTACGTTACATTTACTTCTAATAACATCCCCTATACTATCTCTGGCAATATTGTCTCTTAGATCTCATCAATACTGTTTTTTCTCTTAGATCTCATCAATATTGTTTAAAAAACTATGTGTAACGTTGCAAAGTTATAGCGTGCTATTCACGTTAGATTACTAAGGTACATGAGAAAAGGCGATGTCAACAAATGCACAACATATCAGCCATTCAGTCTATTTGTATTCAGCCATAATGTAGGAATCATCTCATGCATAGAGTTAAACAATCGCCTCAAATAAATATAAATTTTCGTGCCCCTATAGTCCATTCCCATGGTATCAACCCGATACCCATGAACGTCAACCCGATAGTATCGGGTTGACGTTCATGGAAAAGCATGAATCCGGGAGTTTCCTGTGTTGGAAACTTATCACGAAAAATACAACGTTGATCAGTGGGAAGTGTGTTCTCTAATCCTGGAAGCGGAAGTTGCTTCAGCTGACTAGTGGTAGAAAGCTGCTTGATTTTGAACAGGTAGTTATAACTCGGTTTTAGAACGCAAGGGCTATGCACTCACATGCCAACACCAACAGATCGAGGAGAGAGAGAAAGATGTGGAGTTCAGTGAGGGTAACGCCAAAATTCGTGAGCCCAAAAGCAGAGCCTTAACACACAAAGCTCAGACATGAACATTTTCAGTAGTTGTTCTTTGCCTATTGCCAAACCTTTATTTTTTTTTTCAGACTGATTCCCGATCACCTTTCATTGCGATAAATGGGCAAAAATTATTCACCCTGATTGTAAGCGAAATATCAAACTTTCGCAAACTGTCAAAAAATGTTGAGATGGTGATTGAAACCAGCGATGAATAACTAAGTCGGGATATTGAGCCGATCAGTCAACTCACGCGATTCTCTGGCACCACCTCTCGGCCTTCTCACGGGTTTCCTTGGGACACGTAGGCTGCTTGCAGCTGAGAGCCGCCGCACCAGAGGTCGCCCAGCTTTTGGCGAAGTCCTGGGCGTTGTCCGCAAGCCTGCCGTCGGGCGTCCGGAACTCGTTGCTGGCGTCCCAGTCGAACAGGCCACACAGGCCACTCGTCTTGGACGACAGGCAGTCCGAAACCTTTGGCGCGGATAAAACAAGGAAAGGCCACTATATGTCAACGGCACGAAGACATCACAAAGGCTTCGTGATGGTGAAGGTAAACGTGGTATAAACAGGTATTAGGCACACCAGACAGGCTGGCCGGCGTTTCGATGTAGGTCTTTGATAGGTCCCCCCACGGAAACGGTGGTTTGCCTGTCTGAGACGGGATATCCCCGTTTATAGAATTTTAATTTCACAGAGTATCCCTGTAGCTAGCTTCCCGTCTTTACATTGCATTTTGTTACAGTGAAAAGTAGTATAACTCAAACCTCTATATAACGAACCCTGATATAATGAAATATAAATTAAATATTAAACAGTAGTATAACTCAAACCTCTATATAACGAACCCAGATATAACGAAACAAAATAAATTAAAAATTGTGTTGCAGTAGACATAGCCTTTAAAATATACCTTTATATTTTCACATAACAAACTTGCTCTCTTGTAAGATGTAAATTCGCTATAATGCAGTTTATAGTTAACAACATGGCGAGTCCTTGAAACTAATGAACGCCGTGCGAGCGAGAGTGCGGAAAATCATCGATTAGCCAACTTTTCTTTGGTATACAAGAACTTCATTTTGCAAATGAGGCTTAAGGTGGTTTTACTTTTATTATTTTTTTTTCGCGGCACACCTATACAATCGCTCAGTTCTTTGGGGTGGAGGCGCTACGCCAGGAATGTTGTCACCGATCGGTCATATATTGCAATATGCTAAATAAGACATCGTAATAACGTTGCGGGCCATGTTTATTTCACACGTTCGCGACGCAGCCCTTAGCTGAACTGTATATTTCACCTGGGTTACGTTGGTTTCACTTGCATTCGCTGTACTATTACGCAACTGACAAGTACGCTTTGCGGGGAACATATACGGCTACGCTTTACGCAAATTCGACAAAATGAGGTCGCACATGCATTAAGTGTGAGTGAAATGTCTTGCCAGATCGATTCGTAACATCAATAGAGAACAGAAGACGACCTAGAGAACAGAAGCCCATCCTCGACTCACCGAGACCTTGACGGTGCGGCGCTCGTCGAAGGCGACTTCGAAGTTGTGGCGCACCGACGTGAAGACGAGCCGCTGTCCGCTGCGGGCCAGGTGCACGTCTCCGAGCCTCTTGCTGACGGCGCCCAGGTTTCGCACCGACACGGGCTTCCCGTTGACGCTCACTTCGGACAGCGAGGGTCCCAGCTTGACGAAGGTGCCGTTGCACATGATCGACACCCACGCCTCACACACGTCAGTGGAGCCACTCCTTGAGCAGCGACGGTGGGCTGCCGCACAGAAATTATCGCACATATATCGTGCTTCTTGTAAGGGAAACATTGCTATACTGAAGATAGTATAGCGAATAGGGAAAGCGTATACAGAAACAAAGGCTTTTGTGCTATCTCTACATATTTTTTTATGTGTGCCGCGTTGCGCATGTCATTTAATACCAGAGCCGCGCTCTCTGTTGCAACGTGACCACGGTGTGAAATGACTTTCTGTCAGCCTACAGTATACGCTGGCTAATGTGGAAATTCTAAACGTCTACAGGGAGTGCTATAGAAGAACAACAGTATATTTTAATTGTTTTCGTGATCATAGCTCCGCTTGACGGAGGCGCTATTTTTCTTTCATATCCTTCGAATATATATAACAGCCCGTATTGCATAATACGGCAATGCTATAGTTTAACGGTTATCTTCGCTTTATTCCTTACGAAAACATTTCTTCGTTATTTCTGATGAGCTACGTCATATTAAGAAATAAAAAGGCTTTGGGTCTGTATCAGATCATGCAATGGTCGGGTAAAATGCTTAACCTCGAGTATAAAAAATAAGGTCGAGTCTAGCATAAGTAGGCTACTGTTAATTAAAACAAGGAGGTACTCTATGCTGTGATAGGCGGTATCTGATTACACAAGTTTCAACATTGCCGCACCGACTTTCACAAGTGTTAGAAATTGCGACGCAGGCTTGCCGAGACTATAATTATTTGCTGACAGCACCACTGTACTCCAGTCTCGTAATAAAATGAGGATTTGATCAAGTGTCAGTCGTTTTCCACCTGTGTACTCCGCAGTCAAGTAAATGCGAATACAGACCAAAAACCACAGGGCACTGAACACTTTGGCCATACGTAACCTTAGCCACCTTGGCCTACGTTTATCGCTTTTCGTTGACGTCGAAGGTACGGCCGCCACGAAAACCACAGTGCGCGTACATACTTAGCAGCACATCGCCACAGCCACGCAGTCATTGAGGCGGGAGGTGAAACTGTTAAGTGAAAGATGTGGCTCAGATGCGGTGCTTTGTATGCGGCCCTTTACGTGTAGACAGGGCCGTCGATGATATGAGTGCGTCTATCCCCGCATTGTTTCACCAAACAGGGGATGGGGAATTGCGCGCGTGATGATGGTGCCTCGTGTCAACTGTTGTTGAACACGAATCCGTGATTACTCACGCCCAAGCTTGCATGCGTTGAGCCACGAAGGACGAATGACACGACCAAGTACGAGCCGTCGGACAAACGTAATTTTAACGAGCTGCACCCGTCGTTTATGTTACCCTTTGATTTCACACTAAGATTGTGTAAGTGTTCGGGCGAATCGGGAACCTCAGAGGCCCCACACGTGACATTGCGAGACACACTGTTATGCTCCTGGGACCCGATTACGACTCCGAAATGTAATCGCTCTTATTCCCTGGTTCACATCGCAAATATGTGCCCTATTTAAACTTGAACAAATACTTTAAAATTTATGTTGTGTTATATGAAAGCTGCAACAACTCCATGCACTTTGACATGGTCACTGTAGCATCATGCTTGTCATGATAAGAGACTATTCCCCAAATGGATTTTTCTTGATTGACTCATAAAATGACCAAAATGTAGCATATACAACGACGGGATGGCTCGTTGACGTTGTGCATCCTGAAATTCTAAAAAAAAAAGGTTATTTACATGAGCTTTTAGTTGAGATTGTGTACGAGATTGTGCACAGCTCTACGTGCCCCTGTTTCATATGTGGGAAAACATTTTTAAGCCTATATTGAGGTAATCGCTTCTGAGCTGACTTCTGACAAGTATTGAATATGCAACGATACCGTCTAGGACTGTCTCTAGCAAGAACGAACGTTTGGCAAACGCGCCCTCTTCGTATTATATATGCGCAGCTCCTTGACACCCGAGGTCATTTGTTAGGCATATACTATACGTAAAGAAATTATTTATGGCTAAGACAGTTTCTCAACTTACCGGTGACGGAAAACTGCTTGTTCACTCTGTCTTGGAACAAGATGTGGTCGCAGACGTCGTGCATGAAACGCTGACCGTCGAACGTCTTCACTGAGCGACCTTCTATTGTGCACACAGCAGCTGTAAAACATAGCAGCGTCATTGTAGTAAAGCGGATAGGGCTGCAGAATGGTGCCACTTTCCTTATCTATGTGAATTTTATTGATTCGATGATTTTCTAAATGTTTGAAAGTTTCGTTGACAGCATTCTCATATTAATTACGTCGTCGAACGACGAGACAAATGAGATGTCACGAAACAAGCAGATACGCTCACGCGAACACAATGACGAAAAGAAAGTGTTGGTGCTCCTGAGTATCAACAATTCGTGTAAAAAATATGCAAAACAGAAGATTAACGTAATAAAAAAGAGCTTAAATAAGCGCAGAGCTTTGCATGTCAATATTGAAGCATTGTGAACGTAAGTACACGAGTGTTTTCGTATTTCCGCAGCATCAAACTATGGCTACCATGGCCAGAAATTATACCCACGCACTATTGTGCTTATCAGGCAGGTGTAGCAGACGTTAGAAAACACTTTGGATTATATAGTAGTCAAACGTACCGTTGGAAAGAAGTCTGCACACGTCGCCATCACCATTTGTGGGCACTGCAAGAAAACGCCGTGAATGCACCAGGGCGCACTTGAACGCGCGAAGTTCTACGCACTCGAAACATGACAGAGATAACGAGAAAGCTTACCGCACTTGTATTCCGGACATCGCATGTCGGAGATGAGCTTCGGCTCTTGTCCGTCGGGGCAAACTGGCTTCGTCGGTTCCGTACAGGGAGATATGGCGGGCGGCTGTTCGATTTCTGTAAAATGTAATTACAGATGTGAGCAAGAATTTATATATATTGTGCTGCTGCTGAGACCTTATAACTGAAAAGGCCTGGTCAAGCAATAAAGTTCATTTCTCTCTGCTGCTGATCATGATTAAAAGGTTTGCCAGCATTGCTGAAAGAGCACCAGACGCATGGTAATAATGAACGGAATTCATGCATGAAAGTTAGCATGGAAGCCTAAAAACTGTCCTTCAATAAATTACTATACCGTGAATGTATTAAATATGTGATTAATATTAGCCTGGTATGCTACGCGTATAACGTATATCGTGGCATGATCAGCTGAGGCAACTTTATAAGGGACATCGCTTATGCGTCATCCGGGTCCCTGAAAGCTCTAGGTGTGGGAGGTGCTAGAAATGATGCAGCCAGGGCAGTTATTTATAAACAGGGGCCTCGCACATTCACTTACAATCCACAAAATTCCCACGTCATGCAGAATGGCTAACGCTGACTTCCTATCCAAAAATGGGAAAAAAAGAAAAATAAATCTTCTCAGCGATCTTCGCATGTCCGCGTATACTCTATACCGAGCATTAAATGATAATATTCCTTTGACACAGCGTTTTCGAAACGTGACCAGTCGTCAGAGACAATACGAAAAATAAGTAAATGAGTTTAAACAAATAAATATGCAGCTTAAATACCGAGGAAATTGGCTGTTGTTTCCTGCCCAAAGTGTAAGCCATTTTCGTCTTATAATAGCTGTGATAGGCGAGAAAAAAAAAATCAGTGCAAACCATCGCAGCCTTGTTCGTCGTCCGGGCAGTCCTTGACACCGTTGCACCACTTGAACTCGTCGATGCACTCGTTCGTTGTCGGGCACACGCGTTGGCCGAACGGGCAGTGAGCGCACTTGCACTGACACTTGTCGTCGAAGTAGGCGCGTTGTGTCTGCGTGCAACCGGGAACACAAGAGATTTCGTACACGATCAGCTATAGCAAGCACATTTCGCGCGACGGACAGGGACCACACTCTCCTACATGTACAGCGAGACGATTCAAAGGAGTTGAAAAAGTGGGGTGCCAGTACGCGTCTCCTTCCACATGACGCTCGTCGTTTGCTTAAAAAGATCACAGCCGCAATCACAAAGCTGACGATGACATGAAGCGCTTCTGCCTGATACAAAACTTGACAAGGTCGAATTGGCCGCGTTGCATATGTGTACTCTTGTAAATAAAATTTACAGACACTGCCAAACTTTCTCCTCTAAATAAACCATTACTGTTTCAAAAAGAGGATCTTTATTACGCTTGCGGAGCTGGTAAATGACCGAGAACCGTGGAGAAAAGAAAATGAGCAACGTAGTGGCGCAGTGCCCTTACAACTGGTAATGTAAGCTTCACGTCTCTTTTGGTCTCCTTTGTGTGTAGTTTTAGTTACGTAATACCACTAATAACAGTTTACACAGATGTATTGCATATTTTCTTGTGTAGCTGGTCACTGCTGCAGACGCGACTGAAATGTGAAACGGCAAACGTACGGCTGAAAACACTGCATCAATGAAAGGTGGACTGATAGCGTAGCTTTATCACTGAGGGACCGAAATTCCTAGGGCACACAAAAGAAACGTATTTCTCCGCTGCGTAATCACCCGAAAGGAAACAAGATCTCAGACTCTACCAAAGGTTCACAAAATGCGCAGCTTCACAACAGTGGAGATCGGTATTGGTAGATCCCAACGTTATAACGTAGATTTTTTTTTTATTGTATAAGTGACAACCACTGCAAGCTGCTTTTTACAGAGATGCAGATCACTTTAATACGTATGCGCTGCGTGTCATTTACGAACGTTTATTCGCATCGCATTGCAATTGCCGGCAAATCAGCGTGCGAACAAACACTACTTCTGCACGTGGTCTGCACTGCACGTTTCAGCGCATCTTAACACGGGCCATTGCTGAGCAGTAAGGGTTCCCGAACTTATTTGAAGGCGAACATTCTGGACGATGGTCACACATATCTATCGCTGGCACGAAAAGGTATTTGTGTGCCATATTTTTTTTAATCAGACCATTTGCAGAGGATTCGTGCATGTTCTCTCGAGAAAACACAATACTCTCCCTCGTCCCTTACATCCATGTAGGGTAGCAAACAAAGGCTAAAACCCATACTCTCATCTGTTTCTTTTTCTTTTGTGGTGTAAAGCGACCGCTGTGACACTGTGTACCTCTTGTGACTTACGTGAAACCACTAGACACTAACCCTTAAAAACTTCCCATACAATTTATTGTAGACGTCTTGTGGTGTAAAAGTACACACACACGTATAGCTGCTACATTCGAATGTATGCTGGTAATTCAAAAGCACCAACTGAAACTAACGATTGCACTGGAATAGCAGCGATGTCACGTTTGAGCTGCCAGTCCTCTATTACAACTTACATTCATAGGTACTTGAGGAGAACGGCTATATTGCATAATGACCGGTTCGCGTATTATCTTACCTGGTGCGTTTCTTAACTGCTGCAAAGCGAAACGCTTTTCGATACGTTAACCCGCGGATACTTCTTCACAACAACAACAAGCAGCTATATAAATGAAGGGAGCAGCCGCGTTGTAAACAATCTGCCGGCGTTATAGCAACCAACAAAGATAATATTACAGGACTTGCCGTTAAGCAGGGAAAGACAATCCCACCGAAGGCCCACAGCAGGAAGACAAATTTCGCCTCCATTGTCGCCCGCTCCAAACGACGCTGGAGAAGACGGCGCACTCGAACAAGACGTGCCCCGTCGCACTCATCAGAACCAACGCGGAAAGATTGGCATTTCCCACAACGCACGTTTTCGTTCGCAATCTCGGAACAAGCTAGCAGCGCGGCGCGTCTAGATAGCGCTGACAGCGGCGGCCGAGCATTCCCCCTTTGAGATAAGCCGGTATCCCAGCAGAGATAGAGGGCACAGACGCGGCTTCTTTGTCGGCCGCGCTCGTTGCTCCTTTCTCGGACGCATATCCTACCTTTCCTCACGGGCAGTAAGCTTCCATGCATCTTGTCTGAAGACATAGATACGGCACAAACCCACGTTATCCCATCTAACAGAATTCTCTCTCTCTTTCTAAGCACGTGCTCTCGCCTTCTGTCAATTTCATTCAGCTGAGGTGCGGCGACTATGTCTCCGACGCTTGCAATTTCTGGTACATTAGAAAGCGTGCACTCTATACAAGGAACAGTGTCGTGTTCGTAGGCGTGCCGTTACGTGTGGACGGAGACGGGAAGAGCGCAGCAGTAGCAGAAGTGTCAGGGACGAATCGGTGTGTGTCAGTTCCTCATTCTGCTTTCCAGTTCTTAATGGTGGCACCTGAAATGTGAGATCTTAATGACCCGATGTCTTTCCCTGTCTTATTCACTGAGCGTATTGGCCTTTGAAAGACGATGGTTTGCAGTATATAAGAAAAACAACAAGCGCGTCACTTCTTTCGTTAAAGACAGTTGCTTAGTAAAACTCACAGTTTTTCGAAAACTATCACGGGCAGCAAGAACCTTTCAACAATTGGCAACCATTCTGGCTTTTTTTTATTCTCGAGTATTTAATTCACATCGCGGTAATAAGAAAACACCGTTGCACAGTTCTGCGCAAAAGTGGCGAAACACTCGTGTACGTTGGAGTGGTTGAGCTTTGTGGGCAGAAATCGCAAGCTGTTCTCTCACATGCGAGATGCCTTCAACACCACTAACCCGAATGTCGCGAGATCTCATCCAAGCTGCAGCGGCTGCAATTTCAATGGTGGCGAAAATGTTTGAGGCCCACGTACCTAAATTTAGCTGCACGTGGTCGAAATGTCCAGGAGCCGTCCACTATGGCGTCTCTCACAATTATATCGTGGTTTTGGGATGTTGAAACTCCAACAAACATTGCATTATAATAATATAATACTGGTATTATTATTATTATTATTATTATTATTATTATTATTATTATTATTATTATTATTATTATTATTATTATTATTATTATTATTATTTCTTCAGTAACGTAAGGTAACCACAACGGTACAAGATTGGTTGCATCGCTATCCAGGACGGTAGACGAAGTTGTGTTACGAAAGAGCCAGAACAGACCAGCAACGATCAAAGCGCACAGATATTCTCCGAGATAATGTACTGTGTGATCATATGCTCGTACGTGCAGCTCCTCGCAATAGATGGATGGTGAAACTTATTTAGAGTCCCGCCGAAGACGCGACTACAACTCGCTCGATTGGAAAGCACTATGTGCAGACACGTAAAATCCATCTCAAATCGAGCTGTTCGGCACATGATGAAACAAAGATAAATGTCCTCGTTAGGTAATGTGGTCATATCTTGCTGCAAGCAGAATGTCGGTATTTAGAGTTATCTTTCTTACTTCGTCCTGCATCAAGCGAATGATAATAAGCACGAAAATTTCACTTGCAACACCAAATCCTCAACCATCCTCTCCCCTTCTCACCGGCTCCAGCTTTCGCTTCGCATTGTCATTTTATATACAAACAGTATGATACAGATAATTTAACGTTGCCACCATTGTGGATTACTGCCAATAAGCGCCGAAAGAGGGGAGGAAGTACTCGGAGTGTAAGAGGAAGAGAGAAAGTCTAAGGGGTGATGAGGAGACAATCGTTACGTCAGCGTTACGTCACGTCGCGTCGCTTGGTGCACCACTCATTCATGATGATGCGAGTCACGTCTGAAGAGGAACGCTACATCGGCAGAGAACAAGCGCAGTCAGACCGAATGCGGAAACATTAACGGGGGGTGGCCGCAGTCCCTGAGCTACGTGCCTGTCGCTAAGAAAAGCACTGAGGCATCGAAGATACGCCGTTTAGAAAAGGCTACTGCACGATACGCCAAAAAGAGAGATATGGCACTCTTTAGTGATATTGCCGGAGATGTTAGCCTAGTTTGGCGCCTGTTTTACTGTTCCAGGTGTCGGGTGTTGGCTATGATATATACAATGATCACATATACACACAATCAGTACCGTAGTTTTATAGGCAGAGCATTGCAGAAACTGGCGTCAATGTGAGCGTACTAACAAAACACAAAACTTGATCGAGGCATTACAAACAATGCAGCATGCATGTGTAGATGCATATATACATGCATACACACAAAAACACATTATCACGATTGAAATATGCACGAAATCCCATAATTTAACGTTCAAACTACTCTAGAATATTGGCAGAAACCGATCTCAGAATTAAATCAAAAGAATTAACTCACCTTTGGGCACGTGCACTGCATCTTCCTGCATTTGGAGATGCCACTCAGTGTGCACATGCAAATATCGCATTTTGACGTCACAATTGCCTTGTTTACCTGTAAGAGTAGAAAAGTGAGAACGTGAGTGGCACAGACGAGATATATTGTACACGTATCTGCCCACTCCGCGCTCAATTATCAGTGCATTTGAGTGCACCAACGTTTGTATGCCGTATATTCATCTTAAGGAAAGAAGGGTAAACTTAAGGGTTCGCTTTTTTTATTTGGTTGGACACAATATTAATGATAACTAACACTTCCTCGTTTAAATATTCGTGATAGGAGGGACGTCTGCCGCCGTATGGCTTTGTGTTAGGGCATCGGACGCGTTAGTCGAAGGTCGCAGGCTCGTTCCCTGCCGGAGGCAAGTTATCTTTTCTTTCTTCACATTCACAATATACTATTATTTTTAATAACATTACCTATACTTTCCTCGGCATAATTGTCTGTATAGTTTTTGTTAATATTATATCGATCTTGTCTTTTTCTTTATGCTCCGCTCTAGCGTAACTAACCCTTATATCTGCTGCTTTGATTTTTCAATGCTGCACTGGTAGCAGTCATTGAAGAGACTGTTACATAAACACTGCACTTGTACTATATTTCTGTGAACTGTAGTATATCTTTGTACTTGTGTATATCTAGCTAGCAACGTAAGAAGTAGCCAGTAGAGTTAGCGAACGCCGACATGCTGTTCGCTCTACCGTAATTCGAAAGCGTACCGTAAACTTAAAGCCACATATCAGCAGGCTCACTGACCTTAAAAGACGCAGGCCGAACTGAAGGTGTGAGTGAGTACTATTTCTTGTACTTGAAAGCTGAGATGCAATACGGCTCCCTGTTATTTCATAGCATGCATGCGTGCGTTCGCCACGTGCTCTCAGTGAAGGAAGTATCAGGTAGGATTTAATTAACAGTGCGGTCTTTACGTGAACAAGGTCGGCTATAACGCGCGCCGGCAACTTTTTTCACTGATCAATATAATAACCAGAGTGATCACCAGGTAGAACTGGTTATCGCAAATCAGAAGGTCAGAGGCAGTGTTGACCTTCGACCGTCAGTCAATGTTGTCCACACCGCCCTTCATTTGAACTTTAAACCTTCCCTACCGAGCAGTAATCCGTCTGGCTTCTATAACGGCAGGTTTTTTTTACGCGCGTTTCGGCATTAAAGCAATAACTCATCGCGACATGCCCCGACTGAAAAAGAATCCACGACGCGATGTTGCAGTTCGACACGCGTAGAACAAGGGCTCAAGCGCGTAGGAAATTTTCTGGATAACCTGTACTGAAACTTACTCAAGTCTCTTTTTCTTTGTTATGGAAATATTACTGCACGTGTAATTGCCCACAAGAGGCATTTTGAACGCCACATTACATTACCCTTGTTTTGTGGCACTGACGTGGCATGTTTCACGCACTACGGTACACTCTCTAAAAAAACGTAGTGCTACTTACTGACTTTTGATGTAGTAAAGTGCTGTCACAACATTCACTACCTAAGTAGTAACTGCAACTAGTAGACACACAGATATTTACTACCTAAGAAGCGTACCAGAGGTGGGAAATGTCTGTGGTTTACTACTTGCACTTACTACTTGGGTAGTGATTGTTGGGACAGCAGTTTACTACCTCAGTGCTAGTAAGTAGCACTACCTTTTTTGATGAGTGTAATGAGGGCACACATAAATACTGACCAATAAAAAAAGGAAAAAATAGCTAGAAATGTGCTCATCCATACGTGTGCTATCCTATTTCTGTTTGATTAGTTGCACTTAGCTACAAATATAAAAATACACATGATTTGCTCATTCTTACCGGACACTCAACATTGGCAACGGACAGTCCCGACAAGCGAAACAGCTCGTAAAAATAGGTTCTATCGGGTGTCATGTAAACAGGCGTAATCAAATGCAAACATGAGTTGATATGGTAACAACATTAACGGAAACGAGAAGAATATTTAATGCAGAAAGGCAAGGTACACAAGCGTACCCCGAATGTTTCTCGAATATTATCAGTATATTTCGCAATACAAATCGCTTATGCACAAAGTACCAAGCGACATACCGAAGTGAATTAAGGTTGTTCGTAAATTATTGCGCTTCGAGAAAACATAATCGAAAACTGCTAAATGACGCAAAGAGGTAAACACTTTGCTCTCTAACAAATAAGTTTTACTGCATCTGACGTCCACATACGCTGAAGATACAGTAAAAATGATAAAAATGAGGAAAACGATAAAAATGAGGAAAACGTCTTATCACCGTAAGGACTGCGATGTCACATCGCTGGACAATGGAACGTCGATGCCATCAATAGAGCGATATCGAAGAGAAGCTAATACTATAGTTAGCTCATACTATATGAGGCGCGTGCTTGCTAGTTGCGTTGGTTGAGTTTAATGCGCAGAACAGCACAAAGGAAACAATTTTGAAGCCTTATTCATCCACGACAGTGGCAACAATTTTATGGTCTTACGCTTCATCCCTTTAATCGCAGTGAAAGTGTGCATCTGTTTGGAATTTAACATGTATCGCTGTTTACAGAGATGTCTTGTTTGTTTTCCAGTTTTTCGCTCCAGTGAGTCTACTCGCTGGCGCCAAAGCGCAATAAAACTCAGCACCGTGTGTCTCTCTTTTTTTTTTTTTTTGCATTATTCTGACGGCAAGTCATTCCAACCTGTAATTCTTATACAGAAAAATATATATGGACTGTTTTTTTTTTTCATACTCATACTGAACCATAGGTGTCGTGTCCAGCGGTGGGAATTGCGCCATTCAATGCTCCTGTTTTACAAAGGTCGCGGGTAACGTGCAAGGGCAGCAGCTGCAAGAAGTTCTTTGCTGTTCGATTGGTATTCTCTTTCACTCGCCGTTTTGAGGCATAAAGGACGGACTGGGGGACAACTAGCCGTAATTAAGCACTGGCGAAGTTTGAAAACTCACATGAAACAGCTGTCCCTCTTGGAAGCACGCACAGCGGGATGCAGACACGCAGTTGGCCCCGTCGCATAGCATTCCGTCCGGGCAGATTGGACAAAAAGGTCGCAGGGTTTCCGGAAGTTCGGGACACATCCGGATGAACACCGTTGCTGTCTCTGCTCGCAGAGGTAAGTGGAAATGAAAGGCAGTTCACACATCATTACAATAAGGGGCATCGACAATTCAAGGCTCGTCACCTGGAGCATTCGTAGTGGGCACGAACGGCGTTGTCCTCGGTGGGATGAAATCCAAACTTCCTGAAGAGAAAGAACCAAACTGTCGTGACGCAATATAGTAGTTGATAGTGCGTTGATTCTTAAATTCGAAGCATTTCCTTAGCGAAGGAAAGGTCATTTGGCCGCATCCATCCATCCATCCATCCATCCATCCATCCATCCATCCATCCATCCATCCATCCATCCATCCATCCATCCATCCATCCATCCATCCATCCACCCACCCACCCATCCACCTATCCATCCATCCACCCACCCACCCATCCACCCACCCATCCATTCACCCACCCACCCACCCACCCACCCACCCACCCATCCATCCATCCATCCATCCATCCATCCATCCATCCATCCATCCATCCATCCACCCACCCAAACACCCATCCACCCATCCATCCATCCACCCACCCAAACACCCACCCAAACACCCACCCACCCATCCATCCACCCAAACACCCACCCACCCGTCCATCCACCCAAACACCCAAACACCCACCCACCCAAGCACCCACCCATCCACCCACCCACCCATCCATTCACCCACCCACCCACCACCCACCCACCCACCCATCCATCCATCCATCCATCCATCCATCCATCCATCCATCCATCCATCCATCCATCCATCCATCCATCCATCTAACTAGCCAGGCGCCTACGTCTGGGCGTTATAGTGGACGTCTCCTTAACTTTGTAGATACCAAAACTCAGGAACGGCAAGAATAAGCTACTGTAATCTCAGCACTATAGCCTTAAGGACCTCGCGCCACAGAGCATCAGGCATTGGCGGCATCGTCATCGGGCGAAAAATCTCGATATACACGAACAACACAATGAGGTTCGAGCCGAAATCGAACCGAGCGTTCCACGTGACTATCAACTATTTTACCGCAGCGTGATTCATGCTGATTAGCGACAAGGCTTCACACTTGATATTCTCGATATATAGATCATCCCACCCTTGCGTTCTCTTCCTTGCGATAAACTGACATCTGTGCTCTAACGTTAATGCCAAAGTGAGCGTTCGAATGCCCGAAGGTCGGGGGTTCGATGCCAGCCGCGGCGGTTGCATTTCGACGGAGGTGAAATGGTAGAGGACCGTGTACTGTGCGATGTGGGAGTACGTTTAAGAACACCAGATGGTCGAAATGTACGAAGCCCTGCAGTATGGCGTCTATCATAATCATATCGTGGTTTTTATATGTGAATTATTCTTATTCTTATTATTATTATTATTATTATTATTATTATTATTATTATTATTATTATTATTATTATTATTATTTGTTGTTGTTGTTGTTGTTACATTTCTTCTTCCTTTCTTTCTATCTTCACTTCCTCTATTTTTACCTCCTATGAAAGAGCAGACAGGTGTTGCCCCCCCCCCCACCAATCCGTTCAGTATAGTCAGTCCGCTCCTTCATTATTAATACTGAGTCCTTGTGTATTGATCTGCATTTACGTAACAAATAGTTCATAATGAATAATCCCTCCAATGCGTCAACCTTAGCGGACGTCGTCCACGCGACCGGGCAGGTATATGCTTGTCGTTCGCCCACTCACCTTCGGTGCAGCCGAGAACGTCGAAGCGAAGAGCGATCAGTTCGTTCCACGCGGTCGGCTCGATGCGCGCGAAGCGTGCTCTCACCGGTTGGTCGAACAGCTGCCTGGACACCCCGTTGGAGTCGTGGTTGCCCACGAAATCCTTGTTTGCGCGTGGAAGGAAGGGAACACAGGTATTCAAGAAACTGTACAGTACAGAGCTGGCTGCAACATGTGACGCGCCATGTCATCGGTTCTGAAATAAGCTCCGCAGGGCTCTGCGAACTCATTTTCGAGAATCCGTGAAACGCGTACTTGGAAAAAAAAAAAGAAAAGGTGACACGTGTGACAAACGCTTCCACTGATTTTTTTTTCTTTGAAGTATACCCGAGAGCGGACAACTCACTAAGTAAGAAAAACGAGATTTTGTGGCGAAAGTTACAGACGGGGTTTTTTCCGAACCCCGCACTTTACAGCAAGTGGCACCCTGCAGTTTTCCAGTCCCAGTGTAAATTTTGTGATGAAGTAGCGAATTTGGTCCACATGGTGTGGACATGTCGAAGTCGAAACGATGGTTCTCACACTGTAGAATCCTGGGAGGCCCTGCTCTGCAGCCCAGATCCCAACGTCCAGCGCGACATCATCAGTCAAGCCCTTGCTGCTGCCGCGTCCCAAGGGATTCCGGCCGACAGCTAGGGGCGACGGGCCATGCCTGAACAATTGACTGACCTTTTAATAAAGTTTTCTCTCTCTCTCTCTCTCTTTGCATGCTTCGCGGTACGTTTTTTGCACTGCGGCAGAGCTAACTGACAGATCCCTTTCTCCTAATGGAGAAAGGTCGTAAAGTTTTCGTCGCAGTTTTCTGTAACATGTGCGCAAGAGCATAACTCTAGACTTGCACATGCGAAAGGTAAAGATTGCTAGAAACAGGTTGAATGTCGCTATTGACTGCACAACTTATCGGCAGTCTGTTTAGGTTGAATTAGCGTGCCACTTTATTTTGACAATTCCTCGACAGGGAGAAATGAAGGGCACGCATTTCACGCTGCGTGTTGCCTTGATTTATGACCCCCCTCTCTATCCTTTTCCATCACTCCAGTGGATCACCAGACCCTGGAACCCAGTGGATCACTGGGAACCCCAGTGATTCACAAGGAGTTCTCGAAACATTCATGGCTGAGAACCACTGCACTGTATGCTATAGACTTGCACGCTGCGTGCGCACCCTATGTTACCTGTATAAAGCACAACAATTTCATGGGTTACCGAGAACTTTGACGGCACCAGGCGTTGGATTTGATCGTGAGCAGTTCTCACAATGACATACTGTTCGTCAGAGGGCTTCGGAAGTGAGGGGGCAAGGGGGGCTTAGCACTGACGTCCGTATACGTTCTTAAACCCATGACGAACGCGCACTGCCACGGAAGGACGCTTTTTCAATAGAGGCGAAATTATAGAGGTCTGTAGATTTAAATATAGGTGCATGTTAATGAACGCCAGGTGCTCAAAGTTTCAGAATACCCCCACAATGGCGTGCATCGTAACCAGGCCGCAATTCTGGCGCGTGAAACACAACATATAATCATTGTGAGCACATACCCATTATTTACGTTTAGGCATTCTACCAAGAATCGCTTATTTAGGAAAATGATAGACGGAAGCCTATGGGTTCACAGTGTTTACACCACAAGTAGAAGTGCTCCAGGACGCAAGTTACGGTAAACGCTCTTACATAAGGGACATTTTGTCAATAAAGGACCGGCGCCCCTCGGCGGAACAGTGGCTAGGCTGCTCGGCTGCTGACCCGAAGACCACGAGTTCAATCCTGGCAATGACGATTGCATTTCGATGAAGGCGAAATAGTAGATGCCCTTGTACTGCGCGTCGTGAGTGCACGTTAAACACCAGATGGTCAAAATTTCCGGTGCCCTCCCCTAGGGTGTCTCTGATAACCATATCGTGGTTCTAAGACGTGAAACCCCAGATATTAGTAGTATTCATTATGACCCTCATGTTTTTCTCTTGTTTGCTGTTGTGGCCCGCAGATAATCTGACAGATGAAGTAACCCCAATGTCGATGCCCTGTACAACCTTACAGAAAATGCACTTCCCCTCTCATCGAAGAACTGCACATCGCCCCACCACGATGCTGTATATAGTGTCTAAGGTACTCGGCTGCTGACCCGCAGGTCACAGGATCGAATCCCGGCTGCGGCAGCTGCATTTTCGATGAGGGCGACAATGTTGTAGGCCCGTGTGCTCGTATTTGGGTGCACGTTAAAGAATCCCAGGTGGTCTAAATTCTGGAGTCCTCCACTAAGGCGTCTGTAATTATTATATGGTAATTTTGAGACGTTAAACAGCACATATAATCATACACAAAACCAGCACCTTGCTACTACAAAACACCGAACCGCATTTGGCAAGCTAACTCATCTCAATGATCTGTCCTCCCCTTTCTCTCGTTTTCCTTCTTTGCACACATGCCTTATCTTCTTCTCCTCTACTTTTGAGGTCGCGGTTGCAGCATAGGTCAGCAATCTCTCATGAGTCGACTCAAGAAGACTCAGATTCAGCTGTGCGTCTGAGTTGGTGCGGCTGAGTTATCTTCGGCCGAATCTAAGTCAGAGTGAGTCAGCTTAAAAAAATTTTGCTGAGTCCGAGTGAGTCACTTTAACGAAAATATTGATGAGTCTGAATGAGTTCTACGCGGAAAACACATTTAACGAGTTGGTCTGAGCGAGCTGCGTTTATTTTACAAACGTACGGGGTAGAGTGCGCGAAGCGTAAAATAGACACGCTGCTAAGCAAGGCAACTGTTATCCGGAGAAAGATGAGCACACTTGTCGACCCGTTGGTTTCAACCACAATCCCGTGATCGACAATTTATCATTACTTCAAATAGCTGCTTGTAATGAACGGCCGAGTGCGTCGCGACGATATACGGTGCAGTACTGCGCGTGTATGCGGGCTATAGGGACGAAAGCCTATATTACAAGAGGATACGAACGTACCTGAATTTTGCCTTCCGAGTTCTGCACGTACGCGTACTGCGTGCCGTCGGCACTGACCAGCACTCGGTAGCGCGTAACCCACTGACGAGTGCGCTCGCGTCCTTGCAAGGCGATGCCGAACACACTTCGAAGTCGACCGAGGTCCACCTCGATGTATTCGCCACTCCGCGGATAGCGCGGCATCCAGGCACCGACTGCACAAGAAACAATGAAGCAAAAGTTGCACCCTCATAGGTAATCGGAAAATATAATTTTGTTAACAAGAAATAACAGCACGAATCAAATTAGTAGCTCGTGTGGAAGAAGCTAGCGAGCAATAGATTTCCGAAACCAAATACTCCCGCCTCGATTTCGTCATCTATGTATTGACGATCAAGTCTCCACTGAATACAGACGGCCTGTCCTTACAGCGAAATCGCTGCAACGCCGGGGCGCCAGGTTGTGCGGTTAACATTTTTTGAATGGAGTGGCCTCCCTAGTATGACTTACAACACCACAAGGCTGAGTACTCGTGAAATAACGACAGTTTAATATTGTGGCGTTTTGCATTTCTTGACACGCGCTTCCAGAGTGTTAGTTTGACTGAATATTTGCGTAAACTTAACTACGACCCCACAAAGAAGAAAGGAACAGAACCGAAAAGAAAGGCGGCGACGTTAACCAGCCTAGGAAAAAAAAACTGCTTTGCTACCCTGCTCGGAGGGAAAGAGGGAAGGATGAAAGCTCACGTACAGAGTCACCACCCTCAGACTCATAATATCGCAATTGACAAAGACACTACTGATATTCTTCAAGACAACGCATTTTTCAACTACGAGCACACAGGCGCATCGGCTCCTGTGGTGCATATTCATCGAATATAACCAGCGTGCACCGAATATCCACATGGCAGCAACGGAAGCGTGTAATGCACGTACACGAGCTGGACGAGGTTCTTGATCCGAGGCGCGAATGTCTTGGCGAGGAGATCATACTGGCGCTGCTCGAAGCCTTGTAACTGCTGTCCGGCAGCGGGAACGGACCGTTAACCAGGTACACATAGCTGGAGCACTTGTCTGCGTAAGAAATTGTTTCAGACTACTCAGTGAGATCGTGACGAAATGCACAACACTGTTTCTGGCTAATATAGAATTATGGATAGAGAAAACGATACACAGATACACGTTAAATGAACCAAAGTTGAGAACACTTGATGTCCTTACACTGGAGAAAAATAAAGAAAAACGTACAATTTGTAATTTTTGAACTAACGTATGATCACGAGGTAAGGTCTAAGCCCACAAAATCGCCTTGCCCTTACGTTCCTCGCACTGACACAGTAGTGTGTTTCTCTTCTAACTAACGTTTGTTAAGGTTACACTCTAAGGAAGGACCGAGCAAACTGGATGTCTCTTTGTCCCGCAACAATAATTATTACCCGACTTGCCTGCGCTTCCTTTCTTAAAAACTCGGTGCAGGAAGCCGACGCTTTCCAATTTTGCCATTTTAAATAACAGTTACTTCCTCCTTCTGGTCGCTGGCCACTTTCCAATCAAGAATGCTATGTCACACTGATAACGCGCATGTCGTTCGTGAGTGGCATAGGCGAGGCGCGCGGCAATAAGTCCAGGAAAGTAATGCAAGATAGATGGCCATCATTGTTGTGGCACAAAAATACGCCCTTTTCACTCCATATTTTCTTACAGCGCATGCAGCAACATCCTTTAGTACATATCCACTGCATAAACAGCAGACATCGATTTCTCGACAATCAACCATACCTAAACGCTCATTTGTCGCAAAAAAGATACTACGAGATAACATCGGCAGAGACTGCACAAAGTAGCGTCAAGTAAAGCAGGTGTTTATCTCTGGTTTATTCTGGTCTGGCCATGCCATTCTACTTGTGCCTTTTTTTTTCGACGTTTATTGAAGTCATAAAACATTAGCCCTGAAATATTGCGAAAGCCGATGGATGTACCTTTGCCATACTGCACAGTAGTCTGGTCGTATATGATGTCGGTAGGGGTGGTGAAGCCTTCACCTGTGCAAGAAAACAATAAATCTTGAATGCAACTTTGATTGCATTAGTTTGATCTGCGTGTATTCCGCAATATCTATCGTAAGAATAACATTCACCTGGTACTAACTGCAAGAGAGAGAGAGAGATAAATAGAGAGGAAAAGCAGGGAGGTTAACCAAGCTTGGCTCGGTTGGCTACCCGACACTTGGGGTGGGGGAAAAGGAGAATAATAGAACGGAAAGAGATAGCAAAGAAGAGGAGTAAGAAAGAGAAGCATGAATAGTCAGCTCGAGACTACACAGCACGGTCTCGCACAGTTCTTTCACAAGCGGTCGTGAAGTCTGGTGGTCCTTAAAAAGTACAAGAGGGCTTTCGTGGCTTTGCGCGTATGGGAAGACGTCGGCCAAGGTCCCAGAATCTTCTCTTCTGTAAGCGGCCGTGAATCCAGCTGACAGAGCTTGGCTTCCATAATACGTCGTTCGGTCTGGTATGCTGGGCAATGACATAGAATGTGCTTAAGCGTTTCCTCACAGGCGCAGATGTTGCATGCCGAAGTGCTCGCCATTCCAAGGAAACGAGAGTACGAATTCGTAAATGCCACGCCCAACCTCATACGACACAGTAAAGTTTCAGCGCATCGTGGGAGCCCGGATGGCAAACGAAGTTGCAAGTTTGGGTAGATCGAATACAGGTGCGTGTTGGAGAAACCCTGCGTATTCCATTGTAGGAGAGATATACGGCGAGCAAGTGATTGTAGTAGCCTTGCAGCGTCCGTTCTCAAGAGTGGTATAGGCGTGCGCTGGTCTTGGTCATGAGCCGATCGAGTAGCTTCATCCGCGCGGTCATTTCCGAGGATTCCGCAATGACTCGGCAACCACTGAAATACAATATCGTGACCTCCCTTGAGCGCTGCGTGGTACACGTGCAAGACTAACATCCGTGCACTGCAAAGCGTACAAGCCCAAGCACTTCGGACATGCCTTGGCCTTCCAAGATGCTCATCGACAGTGTCAACTATTGTTATTGCACAAGAACAACCGGTCACAACGCATATCATTGTCGAGATGCTGAGAGCGCACATTCGGCATTTATCATGGATACCATCACATCACTTAGCGTGTTTGACAGCTCGGAGGCCCCATTTTTCGTACTGCGGTATTGTGACAAAACATCAAGACATACTACCGCCTGGCTTCAAACTTGCGATGCATCCAGCAGCTGCGCTATGGAGCATTCGTCAACCTGACGTGCGCTTATCAGTTCCTGGAATCTTTAAGAAGGCACGCATGTCAACGCTAGCCGTGAAGCAATTGACTTTGCGTCTGTTGGACGAAAGGTACTTCGACCGCATACATGTTTCCACCGATGGCTCCACTAATTGCAACAGCTCTACAGGAGCAGTGGTTGTTCCATCTGAAAATGTGTTGCTTCAGTACAAGTTTTCTCACACCACGACGTCGACAGCAGCAGAGCTCGCAGCACTTCAAGGTGCAGTAAAGTACATTCTTCGGTAGCAACCTAACCAATGGGTCATCTTTTGCGACTCCAGGTCAGCTTTACAGTCACTACGGTTTGTTATGCAGCACGGGTTACACGAACAATCAGTATATCAGATAAGGCACGACTACTAACTGCAAGATAAGTCAGCTGCTTATATAGACAAAGCACACGGCATTTTCTGTCAGCTACCTTTGTAATATTCAAGATGAAGAATTGAACTATACGCACCTGGCACCACCGGCGGGGCTGTGGGTATCGTGGAAATCGGCAGGGAAGTCCGAACAGTCCCAACAGCTGGGGTAGTCTGGGTATCCGAGGCAGCCGGAGTAGTCGGAGTAACGGCCGGTGTTGTCGGGGTAGTCGTGACCGTCGGAGTAGTCGGGACGGTCGGTAGTCTTACGATTACGGGCGTGTTCTCCCAGCCCTTGAAGCAGTCGCAGTAAAACCGAACCATGTAATCGGGACACTCGGTGTCGTTGTTCTGCGGGTCGTTCCTGCAAGCCAGTCCGTTCTGGATGTCGCAGCGAACGCGATACGTCTCCTCGAACACCACGTTCCTGTCGAGCGGCTCGCACTGCACCTCGGTACGGAAGCGCTCGTCGCACAGCGGCAAGCCTCTCGCCCTGATGGCGTCCACCGACTCCACGTCTCCATGCTCGTCCGGCTTCCGAGTGTTGAACCACATGGACCAACCGGGAACGCAGGTACTTCCCCCGTGTACCTCCTCTGTGACGATCGCTGGTATTCCTGCATAACCGGAAATGACGAACGAGTGGAAAATCTGTGTTCACTCAAGCTGTAGCTGTAACAAAGCTACCTTATGCCTACCACGGAATCCTACCATCACTACAATACGAATTAACGGAAAACGATCACAGCGTGATGTTTTCTTGCGGTACCCTGCTGGCAAACTTCAATTCAACATCTCGGCCTGTTCCAAGCTGAATGTTCTCTACTTAAGGTTTTACGAAGAATTGACGAAATTCCGAGAACATTGTGAAGAAATGATTTTAACAGTACTTCAGTATGCAAAAAAACAGGACTCTGTATCTCTTACGCATGCGCCTAAAAGGCGAAAATCCTCTGACGTAGCTACTTCTTCAGCAGCAGCAACGACAGCCTGATCAACACCATGACTAGAGTTCACGCGAGCTGCACATCTTGCTACTTTATCACGAAAGTGTTTATGACGGGGTCCACCATAACTCCGTGACGTATTTCCGTCACGCATATGACGTTGTAAAATATTTATTAACAGATTGCAAAGAAAAAAAAACATGACGGAAAACTTCCGCAGTAAGGCGTCGAACCAGCGACCTCGTGCTCCTCAGCGCGCGACGATAGCCACTATCCACCTTTTCACAGGAGGGAAAAAACACCGCCATAATGGGCTGCGCGCGGGAGTACAAAGGCTAAGGGCGCAACCTTGTCAGTGCATTTTTGAAAGGTCACGCCAATTTGCGCAGCCCAAAGAGGACTGTGGCGGCGCCCAGGGAGGCGTTCTTTAAAAGGTCTATAGGAAGCCAAAGCAACGTATGGTGGCGCTGCGACTCTGGACAGACAGCGCCATCTCTGGTAGAAAAGTAGAAATCGGGGATGTAAATCGCGCGTTTTCTATTCCCACCAACGCGCTACCACTCCCTTACATTTTGCTCGTGCAGAGAACGCGTGGTGCGTTTTAGTCACCTCACAATGTACCACCAGCAGTTTGGCTTTATAAAGATCTCCGAGTTGGACAAGCACTTCCAAGAAGCAAATCTAACCAAGGAGGAAAGCTCGTTAGTCAAGATTATTATGTGGAGAACGCCCTAGTCACTTCGAACTGCATTTCTCAGGTCTGTGACATTGCTGTGTACGACGTATGCCTCGTCGTAAGTTTCACTCTGTCGACATGAAGCCGCGTACTCTATCGATGTGCTGCGTTGGAGTTAATGAAAACCATATAATTATTGTTTTGATGAAGTACCTAGCAGTAGCAGCCATGTACTGTCGTGCGCAAACGTTTGTGGCGTGCTAAAAATAAACAAAATAGCAAAGTTTTAAGATCATAGCATTAAAATGTCCGGGAAGTTTTTGAGTCATGTCCTCCGTGCCACGGGAGCATGACCCGCTAACCTCGCCGCGAAGCAGCAAACTGAGCTTTAACCACTTCGAGTCAAGTTGAAGTGCTCGCCTCAATTTTTCCGGTTCTCATGTCATGCTTGCTCTATCTTTCGCGAATGCGGCTCTGTTAGCCCGTTGTCACTTGCTAGGGAACCGAAACAGCTTCACACGCGGAGAGCGTCCCTTGGTATTGTCTTGATTGTTGGAGCGCCCACACCACAACGATACTTCGGACCTCGCCAACACTTCCGTGTGGCCGCTTCTTTCATCGCGGAAAAGCAACTTCCCACACCAAGCATCTCGTATTCGTGCCAAGCTCACCGCACCACACCGAAGTATCTGCACCGACTGCACAACGCATTCCGCGCGTGTCGCGCGCGCTCCCGTTTCGGCTAAACACACTAAATCACCTGTGCCACGTAGGTTCCAGAATAATCTGATTGATTGATTAATGGGGTTTAACGTCCCAAAACCACCATATGATTGCGAGACGCCGTAGTGGAGGGCTCCGGAAATTTCGACCACCTGGGGTTCTTTAACGTGCACCCAAATCTGAGCACACGGGCCTACAACATTTGCGCCTCCATCGGAAATGCAGCCGCCGCAGCCGGGATTTGATCCCGCGATTTGCGGGTCAGCAGCCGAGTACCTTAGCCACTAGACCACCGCGGCGGGGCTCCAGAATAATCTGTACAGTTCGCAGAGTAGGCGCGATCTTATCGAAATGGTCTACTACAGTCCGGAAACTTCTCGAAAACTGCAGGCGCGGTTTGCGCTGAGAATTGTGTAGTGTTTTGGGACGATAACAAAACTTGGGAAATGGAACGTGGCAATATCTAAAACGTTTTCGAATCACTGTACGCAAACGTCAAATTGTAACACTGTAACGAAAACACTACAATATTGCCTACAGTTCAAGAAGAAAAAAAACTGCGTAAAAATCAACGCCTAAAGGCAGTGACACATTCACTAAAACTCGTTAAGTTTGTGTGGCATGCTGACCTGTGGTGGGCACAGAAACCTGTGGCAGACCCGTAGGCAGTGGCCGGCAGTCCGGTTCAGTGGCGCACACAATTTGATTGTCTTGGCAAATGCAACGCTCGCAGTCTCGATCCACGACTTGGTTGGCCTGTCAAGAGACAAAAAAAAACGGGGGGTGGGGGGGGGGGGGATTTGAACGTATAAATGGCGGTCACTTGAAAAAAATGGTCAGATCCCACGTACAGTGGGAATCGATGATATGCGAAGCATGAATGAGAAATGTTGATATGTCACTTTAAAATCAACACAACGTTACGAGGTGAAAGTAAATGATGCCGTACATGACTTCCGTGTCATGATTATCATGTTTGGATGTGTCGTTTATCTTTGTCATCTATTCACGCCACGTGATACCATATTTAGTATATGTGGAGCTAGCGTATACGGCCGCGAGCATGCTATGAGCGCGGTATGTTGTCATGTTATTACATGACACGCGTGTCACAATTATCATGTTTGCACCAATCATATATTTCATCATACATTGACGTCACGCAACACCAAATTCGGCCAATCCGGAGCTAGCAAAATGGCCGCGAGCGCATCATGAAGGGCCCAATATACTAAATGTAGCGTTAACGCGCGCGCACGATGGGCACAGCGACGCTACGTTAGCAAAACGCGAGCACTATATAGTAAGATGTCAGGCGCGACCAGCGTCCATTGGCGCGGCCCGACGGCAACCGGCGCAAAATGCGACATGCTGCATTTTGCGCCGATGCCATAGAGCCAACATTACTCTATGTCGATGCCAACATTACTCTCTGCCGATGCGTTACCCAGACAACACTGCGTCTCCTTGTTTTCGTGACGGAGGGACGCGGACACGCTGACATCTCAGTGCTACATAACTTAATTTCTAACAAAATATGTACTACTGCAGTTAGTGTCACTGGCTTACACTCGAAGGCCGTATTCAGTGCTCAAGCACGAAGGCCTAAGAAAGGAAATGACATGTCGGCGGCTGCCAGAGAACAGTTCGTAGAACAGCGCCTACGTAATTAGGAAGTAAAGTATCGGGCTCGCCCGTATGACAACCTGCCTCCTTGTTAGAGTCTGTCTCTGAGTTCAGTTGCCCGCAAGAAGCGCAACAACGCTCTCGATGCCTTGCATGCCGAGCACTGTCTAGGCCAGTGCCCTAAGACCCTTTTTGCGACAATGGGTGATTTCCAAGTTCATGCAAAACTTTCGAAGCAGCGTCATCTTTCGTAATATTGTTATTTCTTCTTTTACTTTAAAATCTCTTTTCTGCCATCTCTTACTCCTCTCTTCCCCTTTTCTAGCACAGTGTATCCATCTGGTCCGAAAACTGGCCAACCTCCATGTCCTTCCCATACTTACCCAACTATGTTATGTGTGGTTCGAGCATACTACGGTGTACTTTGTACAAGAGACATACTGACGTTTTTTATGGATGTGGAGCTCTCGGCCATCGTGCCGATGTTTGCCCGACACCGATGAAGAAAGTGTGCCGCGGGTGTGCTGTCAACGATCCCACGAACGATCACCAATGCCAGCCGACATGTGCCTTGTGCGGAGGGGGGGGGGGGGCACATCTAACGGCCGACAAGTCCTGCCAGCATCGATTCCAAGTCCCCTACTTGATAAGGCGACGAAGATGGTGTAGAAAGGCTGCTAAGAAACGGAGGCAGCACCAAGAGGGTCTGACGTCACGGGATTCGAGCGTGGCACCATCCTCGAGGATGCGCTCTCCTTCGCCAGCTGTTAGGAAGAGTCGCAGCCACTCAAGAGGACGCTCTCGTTCCAAGAGGCACGCCCACTCCAAGGGGCGCTCCAACTCCAAGGGACGCTTCCAAGAAGCTCCCAAGACCTAGGCGGATCGTGCCAAGCCAAGCCCGGCGCAGCAGCCAGCACAGGTAATGCACGCGGCACTGCCAGAGCAAAAAGAAGACCCTAAGATTGCATTCTTACTTCAAGAAAATGCTAGCTTAAAAGTGCAGCTTCAGCAGATGAGGGTCGAGTTTGAAGCCCTCAAAAATACAGCACAGGCCCCGGTGCGGTCTTCGTCAGTAGAGCCGCGGCCGGCTAAGAGAAAGATAGGTGCGGAAGGAGAGGTAGCGGTGGCTTCCGACTTGGACGTCTTGGGAGCAATCAAAGATTTACAAAAGGCGGTAGCACGGCAGGCGGAATGCTTTGACCTCGTAGCATGTAAAGTTTCCATGAAGGAAAGCAGACTCACTCCAGGCAGGAACACTTTTGTTCCGGTGACGCCTGTTTCACTTTTTCCCTCTGCGCGCCCAGGTACGCCAATGGATCAGGCTCCCGTTGATATGGACGTGCCGTTAAGTCGGCAAACCAGTAGCAGCAGCCATGGCTCCCAACGCAACTGAGTTCGTCATTTGGCAGTGGAACTGCGCGGGGTTCAGGAAGCGTAAGGCCTCCCTCCAACAGTACATTGCTTCATTGGCAGTTCAGCCGCATGTGATTGCTTTACAAGAAACCATTGACACGGCGGTTGCCTTGCCCGGCTATTGAACTATATTGTTTAGGGGGGAGGGTCAACGTGGTCTGGCTGTCTTGGTTTCGAACAAATGTGCGTTTTTAGAGCACACGCTTGCGCTCGGCAACTCTACTTTGGAAGC